GGCTGTCTTGGATACAAGGCAACATGATGGATCAAACCAGTCAGCCATTACTGCTAAATAGGATGAAAGATTGTAAATTGACGATGGAAAAATAGTTGATGACTGTCATTGCAAAATTATAATTGCATCTTTGTAAGTTAATCGAATCGACTATTTTGAAGACTGGGGGGTGGGGGGGAGGACCATAGTGGTAATGGTGATAGAGCCTCCCACTCACTCAGTGACTCACTAACCCTCTGCCAGTGGATTATGGCTCACTATGAAGAGAATCAATTTCAAGGTTGGCAATTGAGTGGATTACTGTAGTGTCTATTTGTCCCTTTTTACCTTTGCAAACTGCCAAATTGAATCTACAATAAATTAATTAATGACTCTATTTTGAATTGATGAGCAATTGCTTCTAGTCGATCAATGTCCACTTTACCACTAGGATTAGGTATGATGGAGGCCTGCTAAACTACGGCGTTAGTATGGCGAGTGCAAGCATTTCATCCTCTACCACAGGGAACATTCTCTCCTATACACTCTCTCTCTATCGCCGTATTCTGACAGTACAGTACGTGGTACAAGAGCTGACGCGCTGTACAGTACTTTGAATCCACGGTCGTACAGTGCACAGTACTGTAGCATGGACCATACAAACTCCTGTTTACTGTACAGTACAGTACTGTATGCTACGATCTGACGTCGTACAACGATCGCACCACTCTTATTCCACTACTGGAACGGTACGGTATCCATTGCCGACGCCAATCGTGTCAGTGCTTAAAGTATACATTACAGCTTGTAGTGTAGCAGTGGAAAACAAAGTCGCATTTTATTTTTTCCAAGCTGCCGGTGGAGATAGATTGATTATTACTGGAAGCTTTGGCGCATCGTGTCTATTGGATAGAGAAAGATTGAATTCCAGCTTGAAATTGTTGTCTTTCACTTGAATTTTGTTGGAATCTTGTATAGAAGATAGTCTACAAACTACAGCCTATCGACTGGATCGTCGTCTGTATACTATACTCTACACTCCATAGGAGATACGGCTATCATTTGTAAGCCGCCTTTCCAAGCTTGGACTCAACCAGTCGGATACATCAAAGACGACAAAGGAAGGTATGGCCTTGTAGTGATTAAAATACCATGTAGGACGTATTCAAAGCTTTAATTTGGATACCGTTTATGTGATAATCTGATTGACAATGTGCCTACAAATATGGATGAGTATGAGGGAATGGTGAAATGGATGCCTACCCAAAATTGGACAGTGTTGCTTTTTCTTGTGCAACCTACATTTTTTTGTAGCTGTAAATTAAGGCCTGTACAATACGTAGTATACAGTACGTCGTCGATTCATCAGTTCAGCAATATGATAGAATGATGGAAAGAGGTTGGATCAACCTACCTATGACGAAAGTACACCTATATTGGGTTACTTTTTTGCCGTCCAAGGTTGTCTACGCGTTTGTATGGAAGAGCGATGCTACAGCGTCTGAGTCAATTCCTATTATGTATAATATATGTTATTATAATAAGATCAAGCTATAGTTTATTTAAGTACGACATTGAACGATGACCACTTAATGAAGTACGATAGCCAACCGTATGTTTTTTTTTTTATACCGCGACAACAGTCTCCAATGAATTGGCTAGTAGAATAATTGAAATTATGACGACAACTTCGTCTATACAGCAATGACTATCGATCCATTACAGTGTACATAGATTGGAATCGACGGAAGTTCACCATGTTCAGATACCAACAGCTGACAGCCCATTCAAGAAAAAAACCCGCACCTAGTAAAGGATCTCTCGATGCATTTATTTTCATAGACAGCGTTGTTTAGTGTACGACTGCTTTGTACAGTAGACGCCTATACTGTTGGATAAAATACAATGTTATATTTGTAATCCTAGTCTAATGCCAGACTTTATGCCACATACTCCACAACCTACCAAACGTCTAGTATTGTAGAAGTTGGCTAGGCTGCAGTCAACATAGGATTTTTTCCTACCCAGATATTCATGAATTGGAAATGGCATGCATGCCATCTTCGTCATGACACCTACTCATCCAAAATCCCCATTTCTTTCTACCGATGGACTTTTCAATTAAATAAAATCCATACTATTCTATCGTCAAATATCATCATCATATTATCATACAGAATTGTATCACGGCATCATTTTTAAACAGTAGAGTATCCAATGAACCATTTTAGGGAGCCTTTGTCCCTTTCAATTTCAGTCCTGGCCCAGTTTTCATCTTCGATGCAACCACCTACTTTACAGTGTACAGTATTCCAATGTTACTGTAGGGCATGACAGTAGGGGTATTACTGGTACGGGATAAATGAATAAGTCGTACACTATGGACAAGTTAGACTATTGGTAAAAGCCCAGTGGAAACCTGGAGAGTCTTAGAGTGTACAGTAGAGTACATGTACTGTACACTCTACTCTACAGTACCGTACTATTCGTGCTGTCCTGGATGACCAGCTATCACTGTATTGCGTCAGTCGTACAGTATGCCGTCAAAGCTTGCTGATGACGCAGTGCATCAACAACAGTTTACGCAATCGCACTGTGCTAATATTTGTACTGTAACGTACAGTACAGAGTCACTCATGCTACAGTACAATGGTCGGATCTCATGTTCGACTCGACTGTAGTCTGCCAGTGTCCACAGTGGTTATCTTCCCGAGTTTAATTCAAGATATCTTTGGTAGTCCGTCATAGACAAGCCCAGGCTGGAAGATTGGCAAATTCAGCATGGAGTCATGTTATTTTCGTAAAATAGGGGTTTCAACGACTGTATTTGTACGTTAGTTTTCCTTCCATTTTGTCCCAGTCAACGTATGTGAAAGGAAATGAAAGATGATGTACTGTACTGTACTATAGTACCCCCCGTCATAGAGATAGAAGAAACAACTCACCAGCTTTTTCCTTTCTGTCTCCATGGTTCCCATGACAAGCAATCCTTTCAAATGGTACGAATTCGTACTCGACTGATTTCAATATTGGATAGCGATGGAATAATGTACGAGGGTGGTAAAATAACATTTATAGTAGGCAATAAGATGAGCAATGCAAGGAGACTTTGGTGCTTTCAATCTGCTTTTTTATTATGAATTCAATCGCAAGGAGCGTCTGCAATGGACAGCCTGTGGTAAAACAGAACGCGATTGTATCCATTATTCCACGACAACGCCAGTACTACTATTCATCCTCAGGCTATGATTTTCTCAATCAAGATCAAGCAAGGTTCGCTCTCAGGAGTGATGTATGTCCTCCTCGCTATTTTCGATAACCTTTCAAACCACTTCACCAATGTTAGTTGAATTATTATTACTACTGTATGCATAGAACTTCTTGAACTCACAGCAACTTCTACCATGTTAGCTTGCTTACACTGCACTGTTGAAATTGGAAACCATTTCAGACCAGACCGTAATCAGGTGTACAATACTGTATGGACAGCTGCAGTCAATGATATACGACTGTACAGTACTGTACATCCAAACTGCTATCCCTTTCGCTTGATTCAATTCTTATCCCAATGTGTCCGCAACGTTGAGAAGCATTCATTAATTATAAATATCATGAATAAGAAGATAACGTTTCTCTCTCTCATGGTTGCAATCAATACTGTACTGTACTTCTATACCAACTGATCTAATATTGACGTTCGAATTCACCCCCGAAAATACACGATATCATTTTATCGTAAAGTATTGGCCATAGAATAAAGAATACTACCCTTAGTTAGACTAAAAAAGACAATTTAATATAGGCCAAATCCAGATTCTCCACAAATAGACACTAAATTATTTATTGCCTTGTTCTATCTACCATAATAAACGATACAAAGCAGGGTTTTAGAAGAGATTTCAATCCATTATGCAATGCCTGTTATTGTAAACCTTCGTGTGCTTTACTACTGTAAAAGAGAGCGTTGGTATTGTAAAATCAATAAACGACGACGCTAGCAACAATACTGCAGTACTTTTTCTCCCGTGAACGGTGCTATAGCATTCATTTTCAACAAAACAATGATCGTCTTTTACGATAGCACCCGAATCTCTTGCAAAATCCGCAGTGTCAATGTTGCAAAGTTTTAAAGTAGCCGAAATTATCACCAACGATAGTCGCATCTGAAATATTGTACCAGTAGTGTAAGCCTGTTCTTAATCGAAAATCGTTTGGCCTGATTACGATTAGAAATCTGCCAGTATTGTATAGGAATTTAAAATTCAATCATGCTATCAAATTAACTTACTGCCGAGAATCCTAACCTCTTCTTAACAAACGGTACGGTGTACAGCTGTAATAGCAGTAGTTTCATTGCGCACTGGTTTAGGAGCATTGGCCGACCAAAATTATCAACTAGTACATTACCCATCACTGCATCAACATCATTCCATTTCTCATGATAGTACTCATCTGGCTTAATGACAATGCTAACTATAATATCATCTGTGGTGCCATTTATAATAATGTATGCTTTTTATTTAAAAATACTACAGCTATGCAATTAATTATTAATCTAATCATGAAAGCGTGCATGAACTAGACTAGCACCAACTCCCCCAAAAAATTGCAATTTCCTTTATCGAATTGATTGTAACAAGACTTCATATCAAATAAATATAAAACAGTAAACGCTATATGCGACACATCAACTAATTATGATGCGATATCATTTATTTGAAGGAATAAAAACACACAAGCTTTTTGATGCTCGTATGGATAGATTTATCATAATAACCTCGGTAATTTATTAATCTCTTTCCTTAGATTAAGGTTAAATACGCAAGAACCAGGACAGCTTAGCAATTATTGCATCATCTTAGGTATTTGTCACTGATTGTATCGAAAATGACGAGGATAACTTGATGTGCTTACTTGTATCATTTTTTCAAGTTTAAAATTATTGATGATTGTATCTTCTTTCTCTTTTGTACTATCCATTAAACTAATACCATTTCAACGTACTCTTACAGCCTCTAAAGATGCAATTATTTAGTGCCCTTTTATGGGTGATTGCCGTTGTCGTGCTTAACTTTAAAGTCGATCCTACACTTGGTAGTAGTATCATTAGTGAACGCGATGTCTCCACAATAAATTCAACTTCTACTCCTACTCTATCTGATGCTGAAAAAAGGCTCATCGCATGCAATACCACAACTCGATGTAAAAATGGCTTATTTTTACCTCACTGGCCATATCCAAAGGACTCTAAAGGAAATATTTTACCATTAAGTACTGGCGAAAGAGTTGGTCGCACTATCGTCTACTTTTTTAGTTTATTTTTTTTCTTCATCGGAGTATCTATAATATCTGACCGTTTTATGTCTGCAATTGAAATTATAACGTCGAAAGAGCGTTTTATCAAGGTTAAAATGAGCAACGGCGAGTATAAAAGGATCAGTGTTCGTGTCTGGAATGAAACTGTTTCCAATCTTACTTTAATGGCATTGGGTTCGTCTGCTCCTGAAATTTTATTATCAATAATTGAAATTTGTGGTAACAATTTTAAACCTGGAGACCTTGGTCCCTCAACCATCGTTGGTTCTGCGGCTTTTAATTTATTGATCATCACTGCACTTTGTGTATTAGCTATTCCAGATGATGAAATTCGACGAATTAAACACTTATCAGTATTCTTTATTACAGCATCATGTTCAGTCTTTGCTTATTTATGGTTGCTGTTGATATTGAAAGGGATATCACGTGATGTCATCGATATTTGGGAAGCTGTCGTTACTTTACTTTTCTTTCCGATATTAGTTACCATTGCTTGGGTTGCTGATCGTCAGCTCCTATCATTTAAGAAATTAAGCAAAAAATATCGTGCTGATGGAAAAAATCGCGCTGTCATAGTCGAACCTGATTCTATTATTATGAGATCTCCTAAAGAAGAGCGCGATAGTGAAGGTTTCAATTCTGTCTATAAGAATAACCCAATGTACGATGTCGATAGCATCGATGATGTAGATTCAGAAAAGAATGATGAAATGCGTCGAAAAAAGGCTATGCAAATTGTCAAAGAGATTAAACAAAATCATCCCAATGCCACTGCAAAAGAAATTGAAGAATTAGCTAGTTATGAAGCTTTAAAATATCAACCGAAATCACGTGCTTATTATCGCATTCAAGCCACGCGTAAACTCACTGGAAGTGGAAATGTAATCAAGCAGCGAAAAATGAGCCTTCCAGCTAACCCTGATGGAAATGTAGATCCGGAAGACATTGAGAAATGCAGTCTTACTCAGATCTACTTCTCACCAGAGAAGTACACAGTTTTAGAAAACTGTGGTACAGTAGGTGTAACTGTTGAACGAACTGGTAACTTAAATAACGTTCTAACTGTTGATTACAAAACACAAGATGGAACAGCCAATTCCGGCGAAGATTATGTAACTACTAATGGCACATTGCGTTTTAAAGCTGGAGAGAGTCGTAAAGATATCAAAATTACAATTATAGATGATGATATCTACGAGGAAGATGAGTACTTTTATGTTTTGTTGAGCAATGCCAAATTTGTTTCCACTACAGATAATGAGCAAAAATGTGTAATAGAGTCACCATCGACAGCAACGGTTGTTATCTTAGACGATGATCATCCTGGTGTATTTTCTTTCTCTGAAAGTAAATATTCAGTTATTGAAACCGCTGGAACATTATCACTTACAGTCGAGCGTAAATCTGGTGCACGTGGTACCATTCGAGTGCCTTATCATACTAAGGAAGGAACAGCTAAGGGAGGCGGCGACGATTATGAAGATGCAGTTGGTGAACTTGAATTTAAAAACGATGAAACTTCGTAAGTACTACTAGTAACTATCAATCTATCACTTGTTTATAATTGATTTGTATAACTACTGTATTGGACAACAATTATAACTATTAGCTAAGGCAGGGAGATTTAGATGTTATTGTACAACTTGCTTATTAATTAGACTCTATTACATTTTTAACATGTATCTTTAGCAAAACCATTGAGGTGCATATCGTTGATGACGAAGAATATGAAAAGAATGAAATCTTCTACGTCCTTTTGGGTGAACCATACTTTAAGGATAAGAAACGTATTGAAAAGGAAAGAAATCACGTCGCTAAAACGACCGGAAATCAACCTATTGATGTTAATCCATCATTGGGCCCCTATAAAGAAGCAGAAGTTACAATTATTGAAAGTCACGAGTTTAAAAATACGGTTGATAAATTGTTAAAAAAAGCTAATTTAGCTATGGCTATCGGGACGTCAACTTGGCGCGAACAATTTCGGTATAAATTGCTTCTAAATTATCGGAATTATTTTCCATTCGAAACGCTCTCGTACCTATGTTAGCATGATTGAATTCTCGTGTAACTGCTAATACTAACATCATTTTTTTATCCATTGATGAATAATTGATTTTAGTGCTGCTTTGACAGTTAATGGTGGTGATAATGACGATGATGATGATGAAGAGACTAAACCAACTTGCACTGACTACATCATGCATTACTTAACTATCTTTTGGAAATTAATTTTCGCTCTTGTACCACCAACGGAAATCTGGGGAGGATGGGCCTGCTTTTGTGTATCTATTATTATGATTGGTATCTTAACAACATTTATTGGCGATTTAGCTTCGCATTTCGGTTGTACTGTTGGCCTGAAAGATAGTGTAACTGCCATAACTTTTGTTGCTCTTGGTACAAGTCTACCAGGTAAAATTCTCGCATGTCTCTAGCATGATAGGAAGGTGATTGTGTTATCATACTAACCTAATAAACGTTGTATACCCGTTATTCTAGATACATTTGCCAGCAAAACTGCAGCAGTTAATGACAAATACGCCGATTCTTCCATCGGTAATGTGACCGGTAGTAATTCTGTTAATGTATTCTTGGGCTTAGGTCTCGCTTGGTGCGTCGCTGCTGTTGCTAATGCAATAAAAGGTGAAAAATTTTACGTCCCTTCTGGTTCATTGGCTTTCTCAGTGACCATATTTTGCGCTGTAGCCATTGTTTGTATCGCAGTTTTAATGTTAAGGAGGACGAAATCTGTCGGTGGTGAATTAGGAGGACCAAGAGGACCAAAGTATGCAACAGCAGTCTTTTTTATATTCTTATGGCTTTTGTACATAATTTTATCTTCTCTTGAATCGTATTGTCATATACCAGGATTTTAAAAAAAAAGCGTCGAAGTCCATTAGTTGACGTTGTTCAATAACTATTTATCGAATTTTCCGATTTTTTTGTAAATTAATTCCACTGTGTTATGTTTACGTGACAAAACGATATTATTTTATAGATCATCGATTGCTGATGATATCGATTTGTATCAAGTGAGTTTCTACGATCGTTTTTCCACGTACGTTATTGCGGATTCCTAATTATCGCCCAACACTACTTTCAAGTGCTAAAAAGATAACGATACCAATAATTACGATTTACACCGCTCAATCCGTATTTATACGTATACGACGTTGTGTATTTGCTGTTATTATTAGTATTTGTAGAATATGTAGTAGTAGTTACAATACCGTACTTATCGCTAGCAGTTAGGATTGATCGATCAAATTATTTTTACCCATTTTAAACGATACTGTCGAAATATATAGTCGACATGAACTGAATTGGTTTTAGCAATATTGAGCAGGGCAATTGTCAAATAGAGCGCAATTGCTTCGGTTTAAATTACTCTATAAGGGTAACTATTAAAAGCAATAATTAACAATTTGGAAGACGTTGAGATTAGCTGATTTAATGTACTGATTAGAGTACGTAAAGCACTGTATTAGGTGTTCATGACATATTTAGAATTAAACTCTTGCTTATATTTATCATTTCTTGCAAAAAAAAAAATATTTACAACATGCGAAGTATAGTATGCTGTAATTTAGTTTTGCATCATCTATAATATATACTGGACTTTTGTTACATCTAAATAGGGCATCGATGATTCTAATAGTGCTATCATACAGTAGTATATTAATTGTTGGATTGATGTTCGTAGTGTGTCAATGGTAATATTATTTGTATTTATTTATAATTACAATATTAGTACAATAATGGATTCTTTAGAAATGAATATTGCATTTGCATTACTGTAAGTACGGGATAAGAAATGTGATTGGAACTATTATGCCATATCAAGCAGCTTAATTGTATTTTTCTTTCAATCGGTTTTGAAGTGCAACATTTGATTGGTCCAGCGTTAGAGTTATTACCTATCAACATCTATTTTAAATTAATTCAAAAACAGATATATATGACTTTAAAGTAACCAATGTATATGGTCAACTGTTGGCAACGATATGTGTCAGCTTATCGTTGAATAGCGAAATGAACTATTTGTGAGATTTTGATGCCCTTGTACCAATAAAGTTTGCGTAGCTATGCTGTATCTGTTTTTTTCTTTTGTAAGTGTTTTTGTGATGATGTGAGATAGATGTGATCTTTGTTGTGTTGAAGTCAATTGTAAAGTTTAATCGAGCAGTCGAAAATTTCTTTTTCTGCTTTATTATTCCATATTATGTGCATATTGGTAAGTTTGTAATCGGCTACATACAGTTGCTGTATTTCCAGTCGGAACAATATACTGACAAACGAGTGATTAAATCGTAATAATTTAGTAGTTTGTAATAAATTCAATGCAAGCGTATTTAAATAATACTTGGACTTCATTCGGGGTGCTAAGTCCACCATTAAACTACAGCACTGAATATAATCAAAGTCCTTTCCTGGGTCAATATCTAAAATTACTGTACTACTGTACTAAAGACCCAAGACATGATCAGGAACATCGCTTCCTACTAGAGATGTTCATGCATCATGTTTAGCCATTATTGATGTTAACAAGACTGATGCTTGCCAATTTTAAAAATTTTCACTTTACGCAAGAGTAATACGTGCAACACTATCCAATATAACGTACATTGTACGTGTAAAGTCTGCTCTCATATTACAATTACTTTTGTCTATATTCGTATACTATAAAGTACAGTAAGCAACTATTCAACTATCGCTGAGCTACAAATCCAAGACATAATCAGGAACGCTGCTTCCTGCCAAAGATGTTCGTACTGCATTTATAGCTATGATCGATGTTAACAACGCTATTACTTGACAATTTTGAAAATCGTTCTTTTACTGAACTGTGATATAACCAGTATAATCTATGTGGTACAGTGCAATGTATTTTTTAAGGTTTACTATCATCCGTAATGCATTGCAGTTATTTGTGATTCTATATTAAGTAATACGGTATGATGCTGAAGCATTAACCTCTAGTGACGGAATGTACAGTAATGGCTAAACCTAGAAACAAAGTTAATTTAACATTGTTGGAATCATGCTAATTGAATACGTGTGTCTAGTAGTGCTAAGTAAACTTTCAAAATTGACAGTATAATAACATTGTCGCCTATGATTATGTTATATGCAGAGGTCTGTGCTACAGTATAAGACTATAAATGCACTCTCAATGCAAATTAAGGTATCAAGTACTGCAAAGTGCGACCAGCAGGTGTAGCATTACACATACATAATATTCAAGGACGAACATTAGCGGTACATTGATGTTAATTATCACGAGCGAGAAATTATAGTAGCGCATCTACGGTGACAATTTGCTATAATGTCCGTCTGGATGTATATTGCATCTATTGTGATATAGTAGAATTCCTAAATAGGGCACGTACGAACTTGTAAATCGCCAACAAGGGGCGGATAACGAAGTAGTATTCATATTCTGGTATTCCAATAGCAATGACTATAGTAGTAATAACCCTTGATATCCACTAGAGTACTGTAGTAAATATAGTATTTCTCTCCTAATCGAAAGAGAGGAGTGAATTCATTTTAGATGAGAGAGGGAGTGTTTCGCAGCCCTGCGTAAAAGTTCAGTCCACAGTGGACATTCTGTATACGTCTATCGCAAAACTTCATTTTAGGAAGTTGCTGAAATTGATATATGTACATAATAGAAAAAAGCCCGACTCATTTTAGGTCAATTTGTATACTGTATGACTGTATGCTCGCACCGATATATACACCTACTGCACGTAGGCGTACTTCTACAGTATAAACGGACTAAAGCTTCATACGAATGATTGATTAATAAATCACTCGAACAGTTAGGCCAGTTGAACTGCATTGCATGCTGTTTCTCAAGTGACGTAGCTAAACACACTAACAGTAAATAAAGCATTTTGACAGCCAATTAATTTAATTAACTTGCTATTATAATATTATATTATATTAGATCATTTGCATGGGATACCGTACATGTTCGATGTAATTAAGTAATAATTAATAGCTAATAAGATGGATATTACCAGGGACTACAGTATACGTACTGCCTATTTACGTGCAGCCCATGCTATAAGTTATGAATTATTAATATCAGGAACTATATTATTGCATATTTATGAGTAGCTACGGACCCCCCCCCCCCCAGAAGAAAACCGAAGGGCTTCTCCTAGTAGTCCATAGCTCACAGCTCATACCATTCATTATTCAATATGATTTTGCGTAATAATACGGAACAGTCTGCGAAATTAGGCTTAATTTAATTTAATATATTCGTACACTGCTCCGTATTATTCATGAATAAATGAATTAATCAAATCAAATTAATTTATTATATATGACATTATATTCTATATGTACGTAAATGAATTTAATTAATTAATTTTATTTATCATATTACGTTATGTTCTGTTAGCACAATATACTATCTAGCTCATAGTATGTTGAATATTGTTCATAGTATGAGCTATGAGTCTCTACACCTGAAGAGCCAATCGAAGACAGCTGATGGAGCAGTGGTAATAACCTACTATGTTAACTCACATAGATCGGCTCACGTGACTCATGGAGTGCTAACGGATGTCAGTCACCTGCGGTCATCGCCGCTGATATTGACCGTCGAGTGTCGAATAATCTGTTCCGGATTGGAGAAGTAAAATGACGTAGTCTGATACGCGTGCGCAATAGCAGCAACTTGATTGAATTGTCCTACTCTTGCATGCTCTTTGCCGTCAGAACACTTGTCTGGGCGGTGTTTCTCCTTCAAGTTAGTTTAGAAATTAAATCAAGTCGTTCGTAAATGGCAATAATCCTCCATTGAATCCATTTTTCATCTCAATTCCTAGTCCAATCAATTTAGAATAGTTCCATACAGCTATTTCTGCAATACTGAGCTTTATTAGCCACCTTGGAAGAAGTTTTGAAGGCAGAAAATCAACATGTTTAGCGCTGAAAAATCCTTTCTGATTGATGAAAGTGATATTATCTTTAATATCAATCGCAATAAACCATGGTATAAGAAGCATACGAAAGGTTTACTTATTGCCCTTGTGGCGATTGTTATTCTTGGTATTGGTGGCATATTAATGGGTGTTTTTATACCTCGAGCACTACAAAATATGTCTCATTCCAATTCAACAACATTACCAACTCGTCCCACCACGCCAAGTTTAGCCAATAGCACTCAGCAAGGTACAACCATGTCTCTTGCTACACATGCAACATCCAAGGCGACAAGTAGTCCAAATCAGACGACAGCATCATCATCATCATCGGCCCATGTAACCACGGCGACTAAACCTACTTCAGCGACTGGTAGTACACCGACTTCTGCAAAATTGCCTACTAGTAGTAGAGTAACAACATCGACAAGCTTGCCTCCTACCACCGCAAGCACGCCTACAAAAACAGCAACGCCATCAGCCCAATTGCCAACAGCGCAAGCGACAACACCAAAGACCCAAGCAACAACACCAAAGACCCAAGCAACGACACCAATGACCCAAGCAACAACACCAAAGACCCAAGCAACAACACCAAAGACCCAAGCTACAACACCAAGCAACAAAATTGCCAACGGCTAAACCAAGCACACCATCCAGTCCAGCGGCGAACACGTCAACGCCATCCTCCACACCGATTTCTATACCTTTTCCTGAATTAGCAAGTTCTCGTCTACGGACGTCTATTAAACCAGAAAATTATAAACTGATGCTACAATTACATCCAGAACGCAATTTAATTGTGGGTGAAGTTCAAATTACTGTTATGATTACACAACCCACTGATATTATTATCGTCCACACCAAGAATATCACGATAACGGACACTCCCAAAATTGGCCATTATCATTCAGGGCCGGTCCCTGTCATTGAGAAAGTTGGATATTATGCTGCTAACGATTATTATTATATTAAATTGCAACGGATGCAAGCTATTGGCAAATATTTTCTTTTCTATAATTTCGCTTCGTCGATTCAGAATGCACCGCAAGGCATTTATACTCAATCTTATTTCTCCAGTGACCAGGAAAGGTGATTATCGAGATATTGTAGTTAGCTTCCATTTAAACTTTTCTAGACAGACTTTTTCAATAGACTTCATGGCTACGGTATAAATATCATCGAGATACTGTCCTTAGCTGACGCTGATATACTTGTAGTTCTTTAGTCACTACATCAGTATTATAGACTTTATGACTACAGTACGAATATCATGGGGATATTGTCCTTAGCTTCCACTCAACACTTGTAATTTAATCAAGTCCCTATATCAATATTGTAGACTTCATGACTACGGCATGAATTTCATCGAGATACTGTTCTTAGCTTCCACTTCAACACTTGTTCTAGTCACTACTTCAAAGTTATAGACTTTATGACTACGGTATGAATATTGTCGAGATACTATTTTTAGCTTATACTTGAATACTTCTAGTTCTAATCACTACTTTAATCGAATTCAATTACGACGGTATAAATATCACCAAGATACTGTACTTGACTTCTACGAGTATAACACTTGAACACAAGAGTTGTAATCAATACTTCATTAGTACTGCATTTATATCACCTTGCGATAGATTAATTAACTATGCAAATAAAAGTTGTTTTGTATAGAAGAATCGAATTTTATCTAATCAGAAGTTACTTTGTTATACAATTCTAATCTCAAGATGTCTTCTTTTTTATGACCTCTTTGTATAATCACATTTTAGTAACAGCGCATCATCAAATTTAAGAAAAATTTTCCTATCCAATTCCTACCCAAACAACGCACGGCTAATCTTTCCCTGTTTTGATGAGCCTTCATTTTTGGCTAAATTTCAGTTAACTATGTTTCGAAATGCAACAACAACTTCTGCTACCTTATTTAATGGCCGTTTATTCGATAGCAAGGTATTGAAAGATGGCCTGGTTCAAGATCGATTTAATGGTAACAAGTTTAAGATTGTATGATAACGTTGATCCTAGAACTCAACAGATTTGTAGACACTAATAGAATTTTCGTTTTTTTCTCTTGGCATTTTTAATATCATGAAATAATGTAGAGAGCACTCTTATCAGTCCACACAATCTTGCTATTGCTGTCTTGGATTTCGAACCTACACTAGTTCCGGTACAAACCAACATGTCAAATATATATGTAAGTACTGCGATCTCTTGTCAATTTTAACGATGTACTACAATTGAATAGAATCTTGTGCACTGCAAGGTATAGTAATAAAAATTGAAAAAGCATGTATCGATAAATTTTCAAAGTATGTTATTATTCTTATGATTTCGAATAAAATAGTGCATTCATCTTAGTCTGAGTAGTAATATTTTTCAGTCCATTTCGTTCTACAGTTTTAATATTGCCAGTATTAGACTTGCAGCGCTCTTTATCCTAACGTCGAAACTTTAAATCCTTCAATTTATATTGATGGTTGATTTGATAAACGTGAAAGTAATAACGCAAATAATATTATGCTAATCAGATTAGACTCTGGACTCCTCCTGATCAATCTATGGATGGCAAATCAACATTGGATACTGCCGCACTTATGGCTTCATTATATCAACAGGAATATTTCAAGTTAGACTATCCATTTATGACCCTGGGTAGGTTGTGCGGCGTTGTATAAAACTCACCTTATTCCTAACTACTAGACGCAAGGATTGCGTAATTTAACTTATCAACACATAATTTTAAGAACTAATTTAGTTCTATTTTTAATTAGATTTTCGAGTACTTCAACTGTAATATGTAAATTACCTCAGCATAATCAGGGACTTCTTGATAGAATAAGAGAAGTCTCTGGCAGAATAACTTAAAAACAATTTGATATACAATCGCGTACAAATCATATTAAGTACTCCCTCTAGTGCAAAGTCTTTAGGCTGCGTACATCTGATTTAAACCCGATTGCATTTGATTAGAATGACCTTAGATGCATTGATGATTGGATCTACTGTTTGCATTGAATTAATATTAGATCGTTGATAGAATAGGATATCGATTCATGACTTGATAACTTGATACCAAAAATCAATAATGTATCAACGATATCAACGTTCAGAATGAATTAAAATGTTTACTAACTTTAAATTTTATTTATTTACTAAATCGCCATTTAGACATGGTCGCTATTCCGAACTTTTATAGGCATCTTCAAGCTCATACTAATATCTTATTTTACAAAGCTGAGGCTTTGCTGTATGATCCTTTATCGACGCCAGATGCTGAGCTAGCTTGGAAACGCATGCTTTTAGGGAGTGGTATATCTTACCAAGTAAGCTTTGTTATGTTCCGTATGAATACAGTACAAAAAATATTCGTATATACCACAATAGAAAGTACAAACAATCTAATTGATCTTAGATTAACTTTCAAGTTGCCAAAACTAGACGAATCACTTTACAAGCTTACTGCAAATAAAATTGTTTAAATACAGTATAATTGATAGTAATCAATCTTAAATTAATTAATTGAAATAGGTGGTAAAATAGGAAGTTACCTTGTTATCTACGTAGCTAGGAATTAATTTTATCGTTCTATTAAAATATTATTTAGTGGCTTGGAGGTTCATTTTCTATGGCCTGGTGGGATCAGTATTGGTTACAAGAAGCGATGAAGTCGCATGCAAGATATTACGGACTTACGTCAGGTTGGCAACCTGCGATGGGCATTAACGATTTGGTAAGTTTAACAGTTTTATTGATATCATTGCTGCAATATATATCATTATTTAAAAGAAATTTTTAATGAATTTCTTACAAATTAATTTATGAACGATAGTTGATCCATATGTTACGATTTCAAAAAATAATAAGCGACTATGTAAGCGTAATTTTTTCTATCAAACTAGATTGATGATTTAAAAATCTTAGAAATGCAATCGGCCTTAGCAATGGATAGTTCTGCGTACACTGCACCCCTTCAAGGACAAGACACTACTGCTGATAGCTGGTCAGCTAACAATTTCTACCTCATCAGGGAAAAGGTGAACTATAATTATTTTAAGTTTGATGAAATTAATGAATGTAAACCATTTGATATGTTTCCATTAAAAGCAATTTTTAGGGATACTGGACATAATTTTATCTTTACATTGCCATAGGGATATGCTTTACTTAGAACCTTGCAAGCCTACGATAATTCCATCAATATTGATGAATTGATTCAGGTTATTCTTTTGAGATCATGGCAATTTCCAGTATTACAGTATACGTGTATATCTGGCACGGATACGTTTGAGTAGGAGTAACCAAATTATATGTAATAAATCACGCTAATGCAGTAGTTTATCTCGAGTGTACCTATTCATTAGCATCCAATAATAACCCCAATTTAAACCTTGTCTTAATTTTCGTCTCGCAGAAATTTGCAAAAAATTCAAGAAATCTTGTAACCTCTGTATCTGAATTTTGGAAGTTACTACCACCAGAGGTACAATATTTCTTCTAAACTCCTAGTCTAGTTTGTTATCATCTCATAGATTATATATTTTGAAGTTTCATTCAGAAATGGTACATTGATATAAAAATCGTTGTACTTCGTATATCAATTATATTTACAACCAGTGACATACAACTTAGCTATTGTAGACGCAACGCCTAAGTTAAATTTCACATACTTTGTTGTTGTAGGTCACCACCAAATTTGATTTTAATCAGCTGATGCAACCGTGGCTCACCCAGCCTGGGTACCCATATGTTAACGTATCTTCGACTCAAAGTAATCAAAGTGAACTTTTGCTAAGTCAGTCGCAGTATATTGATATTTATCGATCAAATATTATTGGTGACAGCGTGCCAATGTCCGGGTGAATATTTTTATTCTATAATTATATACTCAAGATAGGAGTATTTATAATGCATATTGTACCTGATCGTCATTAACTTCTAGTGTTAACAGTTTAAAAAATTTATGCTACATTAGTACTTTGTTTTCAACTAATAACTGGTAAATAATTTACATTTCTAAATAATTGTTATCTATCTAGATATTCATGGTACATACCTTTTACATGGAATAGCTTTCTTGCAATGAATTTTTCTTCTAAAAATAATTTGATCGTCCTTAATCCAGATTTAGGCAATATGAGTGCGTAAGATATCTTAACCTAGAATGTATACTGTGTAGTCATATAGAAGTAAAATATAATATTGTCAATGTCTTCTCAAATTCTACAATGAATCATGAAGAATCATAAACGAATAATAATGACGAGCAAACCATCTTCTAATTATATTATTGGGTTAGATTCAACACCAATTGATATTGGGAATTCAATCCTGTTAAACGCCAACGTGAAATTATTTGGATTTTATCGGGTTCTGTATCCGGCTGCAACGTGGAATAACTATACAGCATTGATCCCTAAATTGCCATCCAATACTATTGTTAGTAAATTTACCATAAAATAATTTTATTAACGTATTACCAGCATTAAAATGTCGTAAATATATGCGGTATCTTAGGCCATGTTATCTACTGGATTATCAAAGTTGATGGATGATGCCTTCGCTTTTGCTAAGTAAGGCGCACTTAAATGCCTACTTTTAGGCACGAACGATTATCGCTTAGCAGTATATTACTTGATGACAGCGTAATAATGATTATATAAAATTTCTTTACTTTTAAGTGGAAATACTTAACCGATTCTTTTGCGCTTCGACTGAAATTGTAGGCTTGGTCGTTTATCTTATGTACAAACATTAACTATGTCGAAATCTATAACACAACAACACGCTTTATTTTTGCCGTGGGCTACCTATAAACAAAACATGAACTTCATTGCTAACATAGTGAAATATTTCATTATTGATCAAGCATTGTATCAGGTAAACTACCTTTGTTGCTCAAAGATTAGTTTATTCATCAATTTACACGAAATAATTTATAGTTACAATTGACGTACGCATATTTTATCTACTCCGTTATAATGTTTCAGGATTACCACTCGAGATTAGTAAAAAATATCATGAATGAGCTAACTTTTAAGAATGTTGGAGACTATAATAAAAGGTAACTTTGTGGATCTAAGATTGTTGCAAGTTTTTTCTATTTTTCATATTCTTTATATGACCTTACAAGGTACGGCACCCTATTATCATATTGTAATTGTAATTATTACTAATTTCTTATTAGATTAACACGAGTTGTTGCCATGGATTACTATTGCCTTGAGGATAAGCAGTGCCGAAATTATACTAAAGAGCAATTCCTATCCAGTTTATATTCTGATAGCAATACAACGTTAGTATAGTGAATGTCTTTATATTATGTAGCTGCATCATAATGATTTAGTGAGCGTACTCTTGTACAGCCCATGTAATTTACTGTAGTTTTCTACCTTTACTTTATTGGTGTACTTTATTAACTTGCCAATGTCGCCTTTTTTCATTATAGAATACCTGCTAATTTAAAATCAATCATTTTCAAGTATGGAATTGCTGATACTGATGAAGCTGCATGGGAAAAGGTCCTCGATATGTTTAAATCTAGTACAGTTCCATCTGATCGATTACTTTATCTTGAAGCTCTGACCTATAGCAAAAACGTTACACTTTGGAGAAGGTATTAATAGATTTATGAATAATCTGTTATACCATCATTTTACTGGTGCTATCCTATCAGGACTTTCCAATGACTCAACCACTCCAGGGTTGTTGACATATCTGATATTAATATTCTCCATTCATCATACTCATGACTAGGTATCTAGACATGACTCTTAATAGAACGTTAATGAGCTCGCTCGAAGCCCTTAAAGCATTTGACTTTATGGCTAGTCGTGGCTTGTTAAATCTCCAGTTGGCTTGGCCTTTTGTAACTAATAATTTAGAGGCCCTATACCAAAGGTATTTTTCAATAAATGCTTATAGTTTCTTTAGCGATCGATTTTCGATTTAATTACTCTAATTTTATACTGTTATTACCATTTTTATTCACTCTTTATCAGATTTAACTTCAAAGTAACATTTATGGAGCAACTACTTAACGTGACAGCTGCCAGATATGTAGATAAAGATAACCTGCAAAGAGTAGGCAATCATTACAATTTCAAGAAATTGCGTATATTCTCAGTAGCTTACGCGTAAATTTATAGTAGCTATACTACCATCGGTTTTCTTTAGACTGAATCAAATTAAAATTTGACGTGTTGCCGCTCTTCTTTTTAAAGGTACAGAATTTCTTTCATAGAGATGTGGCAAAAATTATCCCTCCCAGTGTTAAGGATGATATTATTGCTACCATTTCAAGTAGAATAAACTGGGTATCCTTATATCGAGAGACCGTAAAAAATTTTTTCGCCGCCAACCCATGATTACTACAAGGATTGCAGTTGGTGAACGAATAATAACCAGAAATATTACTAACAATTATGCATTTATTCATTGGATCTGTTAGATCATTTTCTAAAGGGTTATTAATAGTGGGTATTAGCACCAATTTATCACTTATCTTATTTATAATTTACTTTATTATAATATTCCTACTATAAACTAAAGGAAAGTATTTAGAATATCCTTTATTTGTAGTTGTTGAAAGGTTTCAAGCGAAGAATTTCTCTGTTCGTAAAATATTTTTTTGTATCTAAGTTCATTTTAAACTAGTGTACGATGATTTAATCATACGAGTAGTAATTAGCATTACTATTTGTCGCCAAGAGATCCTTCTTGTTATATTATATAATTATTTTATGAAGTTATCTGTTCTCGTTGTTAGTAAATTACTGAAAAGTAAGCCTTGCTACTTGTAATATATGCTAATTGTAATAATTATTATTAGCTGATAGTGATCACATTAAAACAACCTACATGATGTAGTGTTTGCCTAAAAGATTTACTTTGATAAATTTGTACTCGTATATTGGATAAGAGTTCACTTTTCGTAAATACAACACCCAATGTGATCGTATGTTACGATGGTAAAAGGAATTTTCATTTCTCAGATATAGGTATGACATTATGTCTTAATTTAATTGATACAGTTTAAATGGATAGCATCTATATTATACATACTCATTTTTAGACTGTGTGATTATATTCATGATCACAGTTAGTGATGGTATATAGCTAGTAATCCAACGTGGTCAATAAGTGTCAGTTAGATGGTTTGCATTCAAGATATTGCCCCTAATTTTTTATGTATTTGCAAGCTATTATTTATCTTTATGCATACTACTAAAGCAGTACATAGAAAACACCTTTAATTAATTAATAGAATCGGAAAAGGTTACGACTTGATATGAGATGTTGCTCTATCTCTAACATCGCTGGCGTTCTGTACGTCGTTATCGCGCTTAGAAGAAAATCAGTCGATTTATTTAGCAATCGCAATGATAGTTTTCAATGACAGACAGCGTTGAGATGGGATAAAATGTTTCATTACTCAGAGGAGTAGTCGATTCTTAATCTACAATGATAGCTTTTGGCTCTGAGGATGTAGCGGTTGTTGATGCTTAACTAGGCTTTGCAGATGTGGTTTTTGTTACCTGTAAGCTTGTTGGAGTTTGATTAGCTGTATTAGTGTGATTTATTTCGCTTTTGGTGGTTGATTCCGTTGCTTTTAGACTGGATGAAACGGAAGACGATGATGCTGAAGTTTGAATTTCTGCATGCGTTGGCTCTGTCTTTACTGTCGTTGATGGAATAGTTGTTATTGCATGGGTGCTAATTGATTGTGTACTAGTTATTGCTTCAGTTTTGACAGGAGTAGTGGATTCCATTTCGATTGTAGCGCGAGTTGTGCTAGTAGTTGCTTTCGGTTCTGCATGAGTGGTTAGCTCTGCTTTTACTGTAGTTATCGGCGTTGGTTGTTGAGTTGTACTAGTAGGTATAGTTGCTTTCGTTTCGACATGAGTGGTTGGCCTTGTTTTTACGGTGGTTATTTGCGTTGGTTTTACAGTTGTACTACTAGTAGTTGCTGTGGTTATTGGCTCCGTTTGTACAGTGATTATTTGCGTTGGTTTCTCAGTGGAACTAGTAGTTGCTGTGATTGTTGGCTCCGTTACTACGGTAGTTATTTGCGTTGGTTTCTCAGTGGTACTAATTGTAGTTGCTTTAGTTGTTATACGAGTTGTTGGCTCTGTCTTTACTGTCGTTATTTGTGTTGGTTTCTCAGTGGAACTAGTAGTTGCTGTGATTGTTGGCTCCGTTACTACGGTAGTTATTTGCGTTGGTTTCTCAGTGGTACTAATAGTAGTTGCTTTAGTTGTTATATGAGTTGTTGGCTCTGTCTTTACTGTCGTTATTTGTGTTGGTTTCTCAGTGGAACTAGTAATAGTTGCTTTAGTTGTTGTATGCGTTGTTGGCTCTGTTTTTGCCGTCGTCATTGGTGTTGGCTTTTCAGTTGTACTAGGAGTAGTTGCTTTGGTTACGATAAGAGTTGTTGGCTCCGTTTTTGCCATAGTTTCTACCGTCGGTTCTGTAGTTATTTGCGTTGGCTTTTTAGTTGTACTAGGAGTAGTTGCTTTGGTTACGATAAGAGTTGTTGGCTCCGTTTTTGCCATAGTTACCACCGTCGGTTCTGTAGTTGTTTGCGTTGGCTTTTCAGTTATGTTAGTGGTAGTTGCTTTGGTTGGAGTTGTTGGCTCCGTTTTGGCTGTAGTTTCTACCGTCAGTTCTGTAGTTATTTGCGTTGGCTTCTCAGTTGTACTAGTGGTAGTTGCTGGCTCTGTTTTTGCCGTAGTTTCTACCGTCGGTTCTGTAGATACTTGTGTTGGTGCTGCAGTTGTAGAAATGGATGTTGTCGTTTCCACATGAGTTATTGGCTGTGTTTGTACAGTAGTTATTGCTGTTGGCTTTTCAGATGTACTTGTAGGTTCTTTCGTTTCTACTTGAGTTATTGGCTCTGTAGTAATCCACGTTGTTTCTTGAGTTGTGTGATCAGGTGTTGCAGTTTCCACATGGGTTGTTGGTTCCGTTTTTACTGTAGTGGAGACTGTCGATTTTGCCGTAGTACTCGTACTCGCTACAGAAGTGGCTGGCTCTGTTTTCGTCGTCGGTGGACGAGCTGTTGTTGCTAAAGTAACGTGGATCGTAGTCGAATAGGTACTAGAAGGAGTTTTACTCGCTATTTCATGAGTTGTACTGGTTATTTTTGTAGGTATTTCCGATGTCAAGGATAGCGTTGGCTTTTCTTTCGTAGGCTTGACTGTTTCAATAGTAGAGCTAGGCGTTATAGTGGATTGCGTAGCTGATGTTGTTGCTGGAATTTTGCTTATGGAAGTAGCACTCGTCGAGCTATTCGTTATAGCCGGTGGATGGGATGTTATTGGAGAAGTGGTTGTTGATTCATGTGTAACAGCAATGACACTATGGTTACCAAGAGTAAGACCAAGAACAAGAGCTGCAGTAATAACACCGATAGTCAATATAATAACTATCACTAAAGCTGCTTTTCTGTGATCGCGAAAGAAAGATTTCTTCCTAACCCCTAGCTGTAACCTAAACTGGCTTTCATCAATCAGTAATGACCTTTCATCGAAATGACTAGTGATTTTTTGCATGATCTAAATGAATAAAATTAAATTTTGATATTAAATATGGCGGATACAAATTCCAGTAGAGATTGATCGATGTAATGATGAGAATACACTATGCATACCAATGGAAATCAGGCATATACTTTAGCTTATCATTCCTTTAAATAGATCAATAATTTGATATAAAGTAGGGACAGGATACGAATAGTTCTAAAAGTTGCATAGTGAGCTAGTTAGCAAGGCTAGATAATTATGGATATAACGTTAGCATGAGCGAAGAAATACCATTAGCTATATATATTCTTCACTCTGGAGTACTGAATAACACAGCAAAGCTTACTTCCCATCAATAACTTTGCGAATACTAATAGCAACTAGATTTATTCTAGTGAGACTTAGAAATAGATATTAGAAAGAAAGAAAGCATACGAGTAAAAGATTCTTGATACAGTATATGAATTGATCAAATTACAATCATTGAGCATTTAGTCTTCACCATTGCACACATTGAATGCATTCACTTAGGCATGCAACAGTATCAAATGACATGAGCATAACCATATAGAAAGAAAATAGTCAACTATCTTCCAGTCAATATTCTAGACTCTCTTGGACGATAATTGAATTCTAGTGTGAATAGAAGAGAGAATTTAAATACCGGCATATGACTTCTTGCATACACGGAGAGAAGATATGGATATGTGCAAAAACGAATAGAAAAATTACAGGCCAATATCGAACGTAAAATGGGAATCTTTTACAATCTTTCTTACTTGTAAATAATCAAATGTGAATTCATATTACTTTAAAATCGTAATGGAGAACTTTGGATAATGATCGATTTTATTTTATGAAATAAAGAATCTTACACGTTGTCATCAGTAAGGCAATTAATTAAGGGCTAACTATTTGTTCATCTTAGCCATAATATACGAGTATATATGATAATTTATATTCTGAAGTAGGGTATTCGTCTAGTTTTATCGTTATAAAATGACAGCGATTAAGCAACTGTTATTTCTTACTACAGGGATTATCAATGACTATAAATGATGGCTAAAAGCTTCTTGTATATACGGTCTTCTAGCCATATAAAGTAGTAGATATCAAGCTTGGAGAGCGATATAAAATATCGATATATGTGCTAAAACAACCGAAATTATTCCAATATATCAGTGTAAACATTACTCGTCATTTTCTTGACTGATACATAGTAATCTGTAATATCAATGCACACGAACTATCTGCTGTAGATGTATCTGCACACTATTAATATTACATCTGCGTTAATCCTATCACCAACTTCACTAGAAATAACGTGATATATGTGTTGCCATAAAACATGGCCATCAAGCTTTAAATATGCAAAGAATGCTGATGGGCTAACTAATACAACTAAACACATTTAAATTTATTAACACGAAGATTGGTGCTGCCTTCCGAAACGATGGATAAATGCTAATAAAGTTAATGGGGATGAAATATGTATTCCATCGGAATTTTTAGCAATTTAGATCAAGGTAAATATGTTCGATAGATCTAAACTATTTCAACATAAGCTGCGTGGTGATTTATAGATTATTACCGAATGAATATACTTTACCTCTCTCCCGATATTGTGAATGCTATCAGATAATAATCTAGACTCAATATCGCTGACGAAAAAGAATTTCAAAGTAGGAATTGCTTCTACGTATATATTAGCGTCCTTCCTTCTATGCAGATTGACCGATCAGCATAATTCAAAATTTTTAATCCAACCTGTGTGATCAATGGTGTTGAAGTGGGGATGGTCAGGAAAATATGGCGATTTGAGAATATTGTAAATATGGTTTATGTGTTTTGCCTAGTTTTAGCTTCAGCGAGTAAGACACTGGACAAAGCTCTTAGAATCAATTTAATATCTGTCATCAGAGTCGACTTTTGTTAGAGATGAACGGAGCAAATATGCCTAGAGTGCATTCGTGTCTGATCTAGCGTACGCTTGCTCTTGTTAAGAATTCATTTGCATATTTAATTTATTTATATTTTCAAACACCGTATAAATATGTCAACACAATCCAACTCACCAGCGATAATTGGATGAAAAAGAAATCTATTGAAAGGCTAAGCTAATAATATTGAGGAATAATATAAAATTTAAAAATGCAGTTTGGCAGGCCACCTGCATTGGTTACAAATCAATGCAGTGATAATTAGACGTAGGAATGATCCCGCTAGGAAATGGCATTTTTTAAAATGTGGAGAGACCAAAAATATATTTATTAAAATTTCCATAGGTTTTAAAGAGCAGGAAATTGAAATCGCGCTAAAGAATGGATATTATCGTTGCCAGAAATAACTGAATGCCCTTTCCATATGTTTAATGTCAATAAATTGCTCACATAAGTTTTAGGAAGTGCAAAATAATTAATATCAAGTTCAATGCCATTGCAAGTGTGCAATAAGCTTTGCTAGGTATCTTATGTACCTACTTGTGTGAATTTAGACATATTGTATCCAATGGATGACCTAGAAAATAACTTCAGATTATATCATAGCATCGAAGAGATTTGTTCATTCTAACTATTTCATTCCCTAATCTAGCACCGTCGCTTTCTAATATCATTAATGTCCCTCAATATTTTTCGATAACAATCTCATTGTTGTACGTCTATCATACTTGTTTTGAGTAAATAACAATACCGATATTAAATTTAATCATAATTTAGCTAGAAACGCGTAGATAACGAATAATTGTGTATTGTCAAAACGAGACTAGGGAGGATATTCTTAAGGCATGTGGAGTTAAATTAGAGTGCTATTAGAGTCGCAGATTTTTGAATGGATGGCAGAAATTTCTTGGTACAAAATTGTAGTGATATGGGATAATGTTGTGCCATCCAAGCATACCTTTATTATTATAATTGTAGCAAATGGAAAGAATACATAGGAATAGACTATAGCATACCATGCCTTAACGCAGGTGTAACCAATTACAGCAATAAAAGCTCATAATAGTAAATGATCAGCTCTACATTATACAACATCTTCTATGTACTGATGTAACTGCTGCGATTTCACTTTCAAACATACATAAATTTACAAGCAAGTGTTATTCCAAAATATTAGCTTCTCATTCAAAATTGCATTGACAAATAATCTGCTTCAACAAATTGAGCATCGATATGAATAACCAAAAATAATTTGAATAAAATATCATAGTTCATTTACGTGTATTATCCTATTTACAGGTATAATGATGTAAGGGGAGTAGGCTATTTATTGACCTTCCATTAAAACTACTGTACTATTTGGCTTGTATCACACTTACGACAAAATACGATATTGCAAATTGTGTTGAAGGAAATTGTTACTTATAATATTAAGCATATTTGGTTGGACCAATCATCTTTTCTGGATTAACCCATGCGTCAAACTGTTCATCCGTCAAATGACCTAGGCTTATCGCAGCCTCTTTTAATGTTGTACCATCTGCAAAAGCTTTCTTGGCAATTTCAGATGCTTTGTCGTATCCAATATGCGTATTTAATGCAGTGACAAGCATGAGTGACTTATCAAGGAGGTCTTTAATTCTTTCGTGATTAGCTTGAATGCCCTCAACACAATTGGTAGAGAAACATGCACAAGCATCGCCAAGTATTCGAGCTGAATGCAGTACATTACGCACCATCATGGGTTTAAAAACATTCAATTCAAAATGTCCGTTGCTACCACCAATAGTTACGGCTGTATGATTTCCCATTACTTGTGCGGCCACCATAGTTATCGCTTCGCATTGAGTTGGATTGACTTTGCCAGGCATGATACTGCTGCCAGGTTCGTTCGCTGGAATAATTAACTCTCCGATACCACATCGTGGTCCAGAAGCCAAGAAACGAATATCGTTGGCTATTTTCATGACACTGCAAGCGACAACATTCATAGATCCATGAACTTCAACGAGAGCATCATGAGCAGCCATAGCTTCAAATTTATTGGTAGCAGTTTTGAATGGAATGCTAGTCAGTTGAGCAACCTTGCTGGTAACTTTTTCAGCAAATCCTTCATAAGTATTGAGACCGGTTCCAACTGCAGTTCCTCCAATGGCTAGCTCATATAGGCGTGGTAGAGTAGATTTTATCCTTGCGATGCCATTCCTGAGTTGAGTTTCATAACCACTAAAGACCTGACCTAAAGTTAAAGGTGTTGCATCCTATTATAATAGTAATTTTATGTTAGCAAGTATCAGTTAATTTTAATTCCGTTGTATCAGCAGTTACAAGACTATTTATGAACTATTGCCATTAGATGTCATGGATAGATAAGTCAATACAGCTACATAGCGCAAGGTGTTATTTTACTAAAGGTGGTTGGGTTTTAAAACTATTGCTTAATATCTGTGTATTGACTATTATAGTATTACGATCGATTTTATTACCTGTGCATGGGTTCTTCCCACTTTGATGATTGACTTAAATTCTTCACGTTTACTAGTAATACTCGCTAGTAATTTCTCCACTCCAGGCAATAGCGAATCATGTACTTCTTTAGCTACAGCGATATGCATTGCAGTGGGGAAAGTATCATTGGAACTCTACAAGTAGCGAAGAGTAATTTTACATTATTAAGAATGCACGCATGCATAACAATTGAAAACTTTTATAGAGTTACAACAGCATTATTGCTAGTCATAAATAATTCTCCGAGAATATTTTGAACGATTGCTAGATAGATATTCAATAATCACTACGGCATCATTGGTTGATATACACGCACACGTCTTACAGTGTTATACTATCATAAAATCATGAGGTACTGTTTCAAATTGTTATTCTTGAATGATATTACTGGTATATAGCGGATTAAATGATTCTTATTACCTGACTTTTGTTAACATGATCATTTGGATGAATTGGAGTTTTGCTGCCCAATTTTCCACCTAGTAATTCGATCGCTCTATTGCTGATGACTTCGTTGACATTCATATTGGTTTGAGTGCCAGATCCTGTTTGCCAAGTGACTAAAGGAAAGTGATTATCCAATTTTCCCTGTGATACCTACAATAATATGGAAGACAAGGCTTTCACCTCTAGATATTTCCCGTATTATTGAGAGAATGATATTTTACGGATAGTTTACTTCTTGAGCAGCCTGAATAATAGCATCAGCTAGTTTACCATCTAAGCCATATTCACGATTGGCTTCAGCAGCAGCGGTTTTCAAGTATCCAAATGCTCGAATGATTTGAATCTACAATATAATAGATTTGAAATGATTGATTGCTGGTGTAAGTACTGACGTTGGCTTTACGTTTTCACGGGTTCCTGGAGTTTATTACTTGTATCTAATAAATTTTAATTGATGATACTATACTATGCAAATGTGTATCGTAATTATAGTACGTTGATTCCATGGTAACAAGGCAACAGATTGATTTTAAGATTTTAAGCAAGTGATCATCCAGGTAGAAAGAGTTCAAATGATAATCATTCCTTACTAGTACACTGTAAAGTTATTTGAGCACATATTTGTATTACTGTATATTGCCTTGGCTTTACGCTAACCAAATCAATGATGGCTTTCGACAACTTTTAAACCAACGTTGATTGAATCGATAATATTGCAGTGTCTAAACGATTGATTGCTGATGTAAGTTCCGACATTTCCTTACGTTGTCCTAGATTCCTCGAATTGAGTAATTGATGATACTGCACTTTATCAAAGCGTATAGTTACAGTATGTTGACTTCATGGTAACAAGGTAGATGATTGATTTTAAGCAAGTTATAGTACAAGTGGAGAGTCCAAATGATGATTATTCCTTGCTAGAACACTGCACAGTTGATCGAACACATCTATACGTGTCCTGTGTGCAAAGATATCACCTATCTGCATAAATGTATATGGCCTTGTCTTTACATTAACAACGTCAGCGATGTCTTTGGATAATTTTAAGTCAATGCTGATTGAATGTACCCTACTGCAGTGTCTAAAGGATTGATTGCTGATGTAGCTACAGTCATGACTAAGCTCGAGAAATCCACGACAACGCAAGCAAATGTCGGTACGAATGTATGTTATATCTTACTGTAGAAGAGACGAGGGTATAATTACAGACAGTACTGCATGCTGATTTCATAATAACAAGATCGATGATTGATTTTAAGATTTACAGCCAGTGATGCTCGAGGTAGAGAGTTCAATTGATGATGATTCCTTGCTAGGATTGTATCTATAGCACTGACTATGGCGTCGTCTTGGTGTTGATCCAGTCAACGACGGTTTTGAAAGATTTTAAGCTAATACTATTCTTCGTGGGCAGAGTCCAAATGACTACAAGTACAGTCAGTCCATCTAGTACTAGCCATGTCGATTAGGTAGACGACATTATTCTATCACAATCTATCGAGGATTTTGAAGATCTTGAGCAATGCTTGTTAAAGAGAAAGAGTGTCCCTAATAATGATGATTCTTACGACCTATTACTACTCTGCTGTATTAGTTTGTCCGTTGGATGTTTAGACATCCCTCTACGCGTTTGTTGACGACATTATTCTACCATGATCTGTGATCGATTTCCATCTTAAGCAACTCCTCTTGAAAGTAATAGTAGTGAGACATCATCTTACCGGCATGCGTTCTGTTTCACCACCAATAGGGAAATTTTGAAGAGATCGAGCTGTTTGAGCACCATAATATTTATCGGCAGGCACATCGATGGTACCAAATGTATCTCTTTCACTACGATAGCTCTATGGACACATTAGACAGTCGTGATCATATTGAAATAAGATAACAAAAACTACATCAATTATTTCTACAAGTTATAGAATAGGCTATCGTGTTAGGATAACAACGTGTACTTACCATCGTTCTGACAAGAATATTATGCAACGGAGTAGCAATCAAGATGGATTGACGAAAGCGCAAGCAAGACTTGAGGGAAGGAGCGAGCATTCTAGGCTACACTGTCGTCTAGCCGGAAAGCCAGCAGTCTGGACGTAAAATATTGTAGTGCCAATACTAGAGTTCATCGGCCATAATGGGGCTTTCTTTTATGCAAAAACTCTTTCTTGGCTGTATTGCAGGGCAAAATTTAGTCGCTCAAGAACGTAGAAACTATCCTCCATGTCTATATAGATGGTGTTGCAGTTGGAGAGAATTGACGACAATTCTTCTGTCCACCCCTGTCGTCCATGTTTCTGGTAGTCCATGACTGGACATTAGCATTTTTTTTTATAAATCAATGGCAGAGACTTGTAATAAAAGGAAATTCTCTTCTTAAAAAAATCCTTGGGCTTAGCTGCCGTCATTTTGCCAATACAACCCGTTCTATAGACTTTGTTGCAACTATTCAAAGGCTGTCATTCATTCCTTGATTATATATATATATAATTATATTCTCAACAGCTATCCTGCAACCACTTCCATCTTCATCTCGACTGTAAACGCTGCTGCACAGTGGGGCAACGATCGCCATTTATTGTGTAGACGATCCTTAGAATCATGGGAGAATATGTATTTTAAAATGACTTTAATGAGTTTAAGAGCGTCTTTCACCCATTTGTAAAATAAGATTTTACGATGTGAAAGCCTATGGTGCACCGTCGATCGCAATCAAGATTTGTTAAACACTCAATGCTATCATGATCATCTCTGGGATCGATGCATCATTGAACCTCTTACCCCACTAATGCACTTTGCATCAGGGACTATTAAAAGAAAGGATGGTAGCATTTATACTTGATACATATCCAGTAGAATTTAGCCAACGAAAATGATTTTGGTAGGTAGCAGGACTAACTGGAATGAATGACAACGATGATGTATTTCTGCACTGTACCACTCCGGTAGAGACTGAAAAATCTGTTTGGTTAGCTAACTGTAAGCAAGCAAAATGACACTTTACTCCAGCTTTGCTGTTATGTAGTATCCAACAGATTCGCCTTAGCTATTAGTCTTAGCAGGACTATGAATTGCACAATGAAGTAGGGCATCGAGTGGGAAAGATGGATAGCTTGCATTCATACAAGATCTCGTTATTGCACTCGATTCAATTGCTACCATTTCATTTTATGCATCATCAGTTGAAAGTACACTGTCGCTGCATAAAAATCAAAGTAATGATGGTTCTACCTCCTTGTATCGACAACTTTGTCCTCTCTATAATCCATAGCCCAAATGGCTTTTATTTCATTGCCGCTAAAGCCAATGTTTGTCTATTTACAATCAGAAAATGCTATTCCAGATGTCTATTTATTGAATGAGAGTCAATACTCCTCCCTTTTCCTATTCTACTTCTCTAGCCTACAATCAAGTTCGATCAACTGAGTCCAAGTTTCAAGTTTTTGTTGCATGACAGTTTATAGAAAATAAATGCGACTAGTAGAAGGATTTGAATCTGCAGTAACATCTTTCATCATGTCCTGCCTACGTCAACAACATCCATTGAGCTGTCCACTACCGATGAAATCGATGCCACAGTGGATACAGTATAACCAATACAATTGATTGGAATTCATCGCAGTTCAATGCTAGTCGTCTGGTCTTGCCTTCCATACTACTTTCTGCATCTTCCATCGTCGTCGTATAATGTAGATATATATGTTAATAAATATGTGCATCAAGTAAAAGCTAATTTGGTTGGGAGGGGGTGTAATACCATCGCGGTCCAATGGAGAACTAGCCAAAATGACCACTCAGAAGGTGGCTTTATTTGGCTAGTGTAAACAGTCATTGAAGAATTAATTATAATTCTCAATACTCTAACCCACGATATTGTACCCTATAATACCGCCAACTACTTTTATTTGCGTATTCTTCTCGTCGCATAACGACTTTCCTACTTCTGCAGATGCAGCAAATCTATACTATGCTCGTATTTCCCGTATATCCATGCACCTGGTAAAGCTAATCCTTCTAGCCTGTAACCAACTAGCTTGCACTATTCTCATGCTTGCTAGTACTTCTTCAAATAAGCTGAGTCTATTTCTCGAATTATTCCTTGATTGCCACCTTCAATCATCCTCTTCAATCTTCAGCTAACTTATTATTGCCCAACACATTACAGTACTACGTTAAAAACATCCATTAAGCTCCACTGTCCTATGTCAGCTTGTTCACTTTAGCCCATTTTTCACTCTGCTAGACCTATAGCGAATAAAGGATACACTATGCAATTAATGCAAAGACGATACAGTAAACCAAGTGCAATTTATTCCAATCCCTTGCAGTTTATCACTGCAAGTCCCGTCTACCTTCCATACTCGCATTCCTGTATGGCGGTATCTTCCTTCATTCGTCTCAATACCCTACCCTACTACGTCCAAAACATTCATGCAGCTCCATTGCACCATGGCAGTCTCTTTATCCCATCACTCTATCGATGTACTATGCATCCTACAAACAAAGTGGATAGATCCACGAAAATCAATAGAAATATCTTTTCAAATTGAAATCCATTGGAGCTAAACTTTTAGAGTAAATGCAATAGCGAATTTTTTTGCAGCAGCAACGCTCGTCCATCCGGACTTCCTTCCGTACAACTGCCAACGAGCAAATTGCCTCAATTGTCAACGCCCCCCTATTGCTAAGTTGGCCGAGTGTAACTCTGCTAGAGTACGCTAACACTACATTGAAGAGTATACTGTAGTAACGATTTCTTTTGCAGCAGCGACGCTCATCCATCCGGACTTCCTTCCGTACAACTGCCCACGAGCAAATAACCTCAATTGTCAACGCCCCCCTACTGCGGAGTTGGCCGAGTGTAACCCTACTATGGTACGCAAATGCTACCCTGAGTAATATACTGTATTAACGATTTCTTTTGCAGCAGCAACGCTCATCCATCCGGATTTCCTTCCGTACAACTACCAACGACCAAATACCCTCAATTGTCAACGCCCCCTATTGCTAAGTTGGCCGAGTGTAACTCTGCTAGAGTACGCTAACACTACATTGAAGAGTATACTGTAGTAACGATTTCTTTTGCAGCAGCGACGCTCATCCATCCGGACTTCCTTCCGTACAACTGCCAACGAGCAAATTGCCTCAATTGTCAACGCCCCCTATTGCGAAGTTGGCCGAGTGTAACTCTGCTAGAGTACGCTAACACTACATTGAGAGTATACTGTAGTAACGATTTCTTTTGCAGCAGCAACGCTCATCCATCCGGACTTCCTTCCGTACAACTGCCCACGAGCAAATTGCCTCAATTGTCAACGCCCCCCTACTGCGGAGTTGGCCGAGTGTAACCCTACTATGGTACGCAAACGCTACCCTGAGTAATATACTGTATTAACGATTTCTTTTGCAGCAGCAACGCTCATCCATCCGGACTTCCTTCCGTACAACTACCAACGACCAAATACCCTCAATTGTCAACGCCCCCTATTGCTAAGTTGGCCGAGTGTAACTCTACTATGGTACGCAAACGCTACCCTGAGTAATATACTGTATTAACGATTTCTTTTGCAGCAGCAACGCTCATCCATCCGGATTTCCTTCCGTACAACTACCAACGACCAAATACCCTCAATTGTCAACGCCCCCTATTGCTAAGTTGGCCGAGTGTAACTCTGCTAGAGTACGCTAACACTACATTGAAGAGTATACTGTAGTAACGATTTCTTTTGCAGCAGCGACGCTCATCCATCCGGACTTCCTTCCGTACAACTGCCAACGAGCAAATTGCCTCAATTGTCAACGCCCCCCTACTGCGAAGTTGGCCGAGTGTAACTCTGCTAGAGTACGCTAACACTACATTGAAGAGTATACTGTAGTAACGATTTCTTTTGCAGCAGCGACGCTCATCCATCCGGACTTCCTTCCGTACAACTGCCAACGAGCAAATTGCCTCAATTGTCAACGCCCCCCTACTGCGAAGTTGGCCGAGTGTAACTCTGCTAGAGTACGCTAACACTACCCTGGGCAGTATACTGTAGTAGCGAGTTTTTTTTACAGTAGCAACGCTCATCCATCCGTACTTCCTTCCGTACAACTGCCAACGACCAAATTGCCTCAATTGTCAACGCCCCCCTACTGCGAAGTTGGCCGACTGTACCCTACTAGAGTACGCAAACGCTACCCTGGTCAGCATACTGTAGTAGGAAAATGGCCTAGGACAAGGCAGAGAAAGGATCGACGGTGAGTACGTGAGCACCACGCTCCATTCATGATGCGACGTCACATATACGCATGACGCCCAGGCGTCATTTGCATACGCTTCAAGTCAGTATCACGTCGTAGGGGTCATTCCATCACACCATCGGCCAACCTGGGTCACGCGCCGCTCGCTGGTTGGGCAGCCATCGTCGTCAGCTCTTGTTTGCTAGCAAAATAAATCAATCAATCAAAAGTTTGCAGACTACCTAACTATTCGTTCTTTGCTGCTATTACCAATCGAAGGACAAAATGACTGATGAGAGTGCCTTAACTACGGTAAGTAGGTGGTAGATGGCTTGTTTATCTTGTTGGATGTCGTAGGGAGGTAGTGTAGGGGATGAGAATTGCGTTTACAAACATGGTCGAGGCCAGGTTGGCATGCTAATGACTGGAGATGGAATAGAAAGCCATCTTCATTCTCTCCTACTTCCATGCTATTTTGTTTAATAGCATTGACAGATTGGAAATTGGATCATGCTTCTACCATGATCCAAGTGCTCATCATGGCTTGTAAGGATGACTATCTTGTCGTGGACATACAGTCCACGACCAGTAATACGATAGCACACCATACGGTAGTCATCGTGGGCAGTCTGACATCATTTGCATTGCAGGATAGCCAATCTAAATACAACTGGAGCAAGAAATACCATAGCAGCATCGCAGTAGACTGCATGATTGCCCACGATTGTTAGCTTTACAAGTAGGAAAGTAACTACCACCAACTTCTTACGGACTGCAACAGAATAAAAGTCTCCAGGATATCCAACACGATCACTGATTCCTACCCTATTGACAAGATCAATCTTTCAAAAGGTGATGAAATTTGCGTAGAGGTATCCTTAACTTGTGTATAAAATACAAATGAGATACAAGCATCTTGCTAACCAATGTCATCGACATACAGTTGAATGGAATAGAGAGACTGGATAAGCTTAAAATACAACCCAATTCCACTTTCAATGACAGCTAAAATACGATAGAATCATTGCTTACAGTTCATCAATACATTCCCATCCTAGCTGGATAATGATATAAATGATACCACACACACACACGATGAGAAAAGAACAGCAGTATCCACTGGGTTGTATTGTCGATAATTCACCATGGCTAGCTTACAAGTAGGAAAATAACCATCACCAATCGATTACGAACTGGAATAGAGTAAAATGCATCATAAGAGCCCACATACTGAATGAGATAAGCCATTGAAGCGTACTGACAACATCTAGCTTTCAAAAGGTGATGAAATCGAACGTCTTCTTTTTTTTTAGTGTGCAATCGATTATAGTAAATTGCTAACTCATTTCATGTGTCATAGCTAGTGCAATTGGCAGACTTGATTAGTTTCCAATACGACCGAATTTTACTTTAAATTGGATCTGGAATACGGTACAATGATCACAGATGCGAAGTATAGCAAGGTCTGATTGGTATACATTCACCAACAAGAGGATCAGCGTGCTACCATGAATAGTCATAGTGTAGCATGATAGTCCAACACAATTGGACAAAGAATGACCATAGCAGTATCCATCTGATTTTGATCATCATCCAGAATTATTAACCACAACGGATTTCTTATTGACTAGAATAGAGTTAAAATAGGACAGATATCCAATTAGATAATCCAGTTGAATTGAATAGTCAAATCTGATAAGCTTCAAATGCAACCGAATTGGACTTTAAATTGTATCCAAAATGCTGTAGAATGATAACTAATGCTAGGTATTGAGCTACGGGATCGCTATAAATCTACTAATACCATCATCATAGTATTGGAATAAACATGCATAACAAGAATCTAGTCATATCCTAGCATGATAGCATAATGATAGCGTAGTCATGAGATATAAAAATACATTTGAGTCATTCAGTAAGTCATAGTTACAAGCTAAGCAAAACTTTTTGTCGCCCAGAATTTTTGCGTTATTTGCCTAGTAATACTTGAAGTCTACTTCCAGGCCTAATAGTCTGTACATACTACATTTGTTGCACTAGACGGCTACTTTTACTCGTATAATAGATCTCTAGCTTAGCCTGATTAATACAAATATAATTTTAATGGTCTACTATAATCACATCACACGAATCATCTTCAGTGGACACTGCTGGTACAAGAGCTTAAAATTTTCATGTAAAGACTCGACAATATTATACCAAGTAGTCGCCATGGCTGAATATTATTCATGGATGGAGAAAATCCTTAGTAACTAATCCCTACTTGTCAATAATCACTATTCACTTCAGAATCGCAAAAGTTACTATTTGTCACATATGAGAGCGATCGATGTGCGATGCCTTTACAGATAGACCTTACATCAAATACATATATAGAATCAATTCAATACGGACAGCATACTGTAAGATTGATTGATCGTGTTAATGCTAAATATGCACTAAGCAAGTCAAAAATGGAATACTCTACACGTATACGATGACGTTAATACTACTAACGAAACGCCAACATTCTGATAATCTTACTTTAACTAACAAAAGTATCTATCTGCCCATTTCTTCTAATACCAATATTCTATTCTATTTTATACGCGTATGAGGGTACATAATCTTCCTATACCCTATGGCAGTCATTCAGTTCTTGCCAAAGGTGTTTGATGTAATCAACAAGCTAATGACTTCTTCTGAGCTGTAATGAAATGAAGCCATACATACTGCAGCAGAGTTATTTGGCAATCATCATATCTCACGTTGTACTGTATTGCCAAATTTCAACAACAACCTACTCTCGTAGGCTCATCGGAAAAGTATTCGCACATAGAAGGGAACAGCATACGTAGATAGCCTTTAGTGCTATGATGACTCACGAATTTCCAACCAAAATGCCCATACAATAGTTACTCAGACATTCATACAACTGTCCATTGCTAATTCATAAACAACCTATTTTACAGTTGTGTGTAATGCTTTGCATTCACAATAATTTTACAAACATCTACAGCAGCTCTGGAGCCTTAAATATCTTGTAACGCTAATATGCGAATTGAGATTATAAAAATGTTGACTAACCGGCATTTATTTATTGTCATCATGAATTATACCCATATATATCAATGAACAGCAAAGCAAGATGTGGAACGTTGCTGAATTTCAAGCTCAAGCTAAACGTGATTCTGAAATTGCTATGCAACATGACTTGGATGCAATGCTACAAACTGCTCCTGCCGATCAAAAAGAGGCAAGTACTATGTTCTAACTATCGATGCATTTGTGATTATATCGCATATTGAATTACGTTAAAACTATCACGCCTCTGCTAGTTACCACGACTATAAACGTTATGATCATAAGCATTAAAGGCCGTTTCTTGAATTTGGTGGGTATCGTCATTGACGATGATCTCCAGATTTGAAACGAGTGTGGCAAAGGTGTATCAATTCTTGACAAGGATATAGTTACTGTACAACTTTACTAGATGATACTACAGTGTGTTGATTTCAGTAAAATATTATGTATATCGACCGTCAGCAGGATGTAGTAACAATTAACCTGTCATCTTTATTAATAACGGCCATCATGCTATTACAAACAGAGAATGGGCAAGGAATTGAATGGTTTCAGCAAGCTATTTTCAAGGTACATTGAAAATAAAGGTTCCGCAATCAAGTGGGACAAAATTCGACCATTGCCGGAAGGAGCAGTAAGTTAATAAATTGAACAAACGGTAAAGTTCCTATATCTGACAATAACTCGAGATACCAAAAACGAACGGTAGTGACAACAATTATCTATTTGTCAATCACGTTTCTGCTAGACTATGTGATGCTACAGTTCTATATACTTATTCCAAATTGCAATTTATTACTTTTGCCTAAAATTTTTTGCAATGTCTTGTCACGATATCAAACTTGAACAAAGCGAAACTACATTATACTCGTATAGAATTGCAATTAGGATAATACCAGTCACTATCGATCTTTCCTGATTCATACGTTACCAGCAATTTCACACCTGTGTTAATTATAGATTGTAATGATAGATAACATTTTAGCAAACACTTTAGCCCCTTTTTCAAATCATCCGTTATGTATTATGCAGATTTTTATTGTTATATTAAATAACATTATGGCATATTGTTTATCTGCTATAAGACTTTCCTATCACAAACCGTCCTTGCTATGTAGTGTCATAGACGACTAGAAGAAAAGTAGTCCATGGTATTGTGCAGATTTTCTCTGTCAGCTAGTCACACATGTATTTGTAGATACTAGTTATGCGCAACTTTGAAAAAACTGCAATGTAGAGACAACCATATTAAATGCTATCTAATTAGATACACGAAGTACTTTGTATCGTAGTTATCCAAATCATTTTTTTTCTCACGATTCAACGCCATCTAGGTCCGAAAGTATGATGATATCAAAGTACGAGAATCCGAGGTTTCCAGAGCTCTATTAGATCAGCTAGTGGTTTTAAAACTGAATGGTGGATTAGGAACTAGCATGGGTTGCACTGGACCTAAAAGTATCATTACTGTCCATACTAATGCAACATTTCTGGATCTTACCATTCAACAGATTGAGGTAATAAGGAGTCTTCAAATTAATGATATCAATATTTTTAAACTATTATAGGCAATTATTAAGCTATGATTAATGAGCTACCTTGTGCTGCTATATAATAAATATAATTTGTGATCATTTTGTATTAATCAGCAATGCAATCAGTTCTACTGTTTGTTAATTCTTATATTTTACTGTACATTCAAACCTAATAAAAGAACAAGCCCTACTCGAATTAATTCCTTATATACGTTTTTATAGTTCTTGAACGACAAGTACAATGCAAGCGTTCCGTTGGTACTCATGAATTCGTTCAATACTCACGAAGATACGCTGAAAGTACTACGAAAATACAAATCCGCTCGGGTTGATATTCATTGCTTCAATCAGAGCCGATATCCTCGCATTTACAGTGACAACCTGCATCCTGTTGCTAGTCAATTTGATGATCATCATGATTGGTAAGCTAACAAGAATTGATCACTTTGATAGTATCCGTGTAAGTAATATCCAATGTCAATTGTTTCATTGCTTTTTATTTTATAATCCTTTATAGTTGGTACCCACCCGGTCATGGTGATACTTATGCTGCTTTCTCTAATTCTGGACTGTTGGAGAAATTTTTAGCCATGGGCAAACGCTATGTTTTCATTTCCAATATTGATAACCTAGGAGCAGTTGTTGATATGTGTATCTTTGTCATGTCATAAGTTCTATTGTAGTATATAGTAAATGCGTTTGTATTGTATACAGCACTATTATTGTATTACCGTCTTTATTAATACATCGAAAGTTAAGTACCCATGAACGATTTTTAGGAACATTACTTCAATAGATTATGCCTTAACACGTCAACAGCTATTTTAAACTACTTAGCCAGCCCTACTGATGGTGAACGATGTGACTTTGTTATGGAAGTTACTGATAAAACTAGATCTGATGTTAAGGTACTTTATTAGTAATACATAATTGAAAGATTAAAAATTTACTCAATATTTATTACATGATTTAAGTTCTCTAAAATGATGCATATATTATGGCTACTGTATTAGGGTGGTACGCTCATCAGTTATGAAGATAAATTGCGTCTTTTGGAAATTGCTCAAGTCCCTAAAGATCATGTACTGTCACATTTATAATTATCACTAGACTCAATTGCTGATGATAACATGGTGTATATTTCATTTTATTTAGGTCGACGAATTCAAATCCATCAAGAAATTCCAGTAAGTCTTACATAATTAATAAAAACATATTACCAGTTGTCAATGAAATGTAACATAAATCTAAATATTCGTTACTTCAGCAAAGATTTGCACCTACATGCTATAATTAACAGTATTAATCTTTAAAAAGATTTTATTGAAATGCAACAATAATGGAAAGATATACTCCTAGACATTATATTTTATGTGTAACCATATCAGCTACGAAGGAGAATTTTAATTTATTGTGAAATCTTAGGATTTTTAACACTAATAATATTTGGATTGACATGAAAGCAATTCATGAGTTGTACAGCAGCAACGCCCTAGACATGGAAATTATTGTGAATAACAAAGTGAGTATCTGTAATGTGGAAAAGATCGGTATTTTTTTCTGATAAGACCCTCTCATGTTAGTGGTGTTATTTCATGGATGAAAAATTTTACAACGTTTGTTACTTTGTTAGACAATGGATACCACCGGTGCACATGTCATACAGCTGGAAACCGCTATTGGAGCAGCCATCAAATGCTTTAATGGCGCCCATGGTAGCGGAATAATTTCTATCAGTGCATCAGATTATATACATTACATCACTAAAAGCACCTTTTCAGCATAAAACAGAGATTTGTCTCGTATGTTTTATATTGATTTAATAAAACTTTATCTTGTAGGCATTAATGTACCGCGTTCCCGCTTTCTGCCAGTTAAGAAAACGGCTGATCTTTTGCTAGCCATGTCGAATCTATATACTCTGAGGTGCGGTACCTTGGAAATGAATCCTGCTCGTTCCTTTCCAACTGTTCCCCTAATTAAACTTGGCGATGAATTCAAAAAGGTAACCGTCAAGTAGTTCAATTGGAACTCTTTACTGATACAGATACTTTAATTATGCTTTTTGGTTTATTGTATAGGTCAGAGATTTCTTGAGACGTTTTGAAGATATTCCAGATATTCTAGAGCTAGATCATCTCACTGTATCCGGAGATGTAACATTTGGAAAAAATGTATCTCTTAAGGTATAGATCGATATGTGCAATATTTGTTTTTAATGTTACTATGTTCAATTATTGTCATTTAAACCACACTGGTATTGTTAACTTATAAATTAAAATTAAATTATAGGGCACAGTTATAATAATAGCTAACTTTGGCGAGAGGATTGACATTCCTAGTGGCGCTGTCTTGGAAAACAAAATCGTGACTGGAAATTTGCGCATTTTAGAACATTAGACCCATTCTCTATACAAATATTTTTAACTTAAAAATTTTACGTGCTGACTTAGGAAGATTTTGGTTACAATTCTAATAGTTTATTCTTGGGAATTTTGTGCGCATAATTTGTGATTAATTCTACATGCAAAACTATATAATGCCATTGGGATAGTGTTTCTGAAAGAAATGCATGAGAAAAATTTTAGCTGCAAGCCTACTTGTTTATTCCTTTGGAATCTGTACTCATGATTTATAATTAATTTTGCATACGAATTGTGTCATGCCTCTTTAATAATGTAGCAAAGGAAAATTTATGACACGTATGATGACCTACGTTTAACTTGCGCTACTTGATTTTTTCTTAATTCCGGACTAAGTACCATTATTATATTAGGGCCTTCACCTTTATTATGTAGTGGTTGTAGTCATTTTATGATATCCTGACGTGAGCAAAACGTTATCCTATTAGCCCTTTAATCCAAATAAAAAAGTAATTTCATCAATCATCAACTTGAAGCATAATCGTGTTTATTAGTAGGTACTACGAATGGACTACTTGCGCATTCCTTTTTGGCATTAGAAATTACTATTAGTGCTTTACGAGAGCCTAGCATTCTCTATGCCTCGAATATCCGTGGTAAGAAAGAGAAAAATTTTCCCACTTATCAAATGATTCCTGATATCCTGTACTATCGCTGTAACTATTCAAATATTTAGTATACAACATACGTGTAATTAAAAAAATACTTATACTGAGAAACCTGTACATGAAGGTAAATAGAAAACTAAATGGTTATCCTTAAAAGAGGTAAAATATAGCCAGTTGTGATTATAATCTATCAAATAAAAGGGTTTTGGTTTATTGTAGTCATTCGCTAAGATATCTTGTAAAGACATGGAAAAAGTATTAGTTATATCTGGAATCGACGACAGTAATCTTGAGCAACTCTGTGAGAGTAGAAAAAGCTTGCATGATTTTTCAAGGGTGGGGTAGGATAAGCACAACAGCTATCTAACTACCGTTAAAATTGTATTTTAAAACGACCTTCAACTATAATATATCGAGTGAATGGAAATGTACTACATCATTCTACTTTGCTCACCAAAGAGACATTTATGGAAATACGTAAAAAATAACAGATGCCTTTGGATCATTAAATGCAAGTTTATCTAATTCTGATCACATTGGATTATGCAATTGGATATTAATCTTGAATACGAGTATGTAGGGGTTAAAGTAATTTTATGATATTTTTCAACGTAAAAATATTATCTTATTAATTATTTTACAGGCATAAATGAACAAATAATCTCAAGGCAAAGTGTGATCAAAGTACAAAAGATCTGACTAATTCGTCAATCTTTAAAACATATCCTTTAAGCGCCATTGCGCGATATTCCAACATTTTAAATACTTCGAGTGTCTGTAGTTAAATATGCAAAACTTTCTGTTTGTCGATTAAATAATGATGGAATCTTTATGTTATCGCTGTAATTATATTTAGTGGGGGGTAACGTATTTTAGGAAAATATATCTAAAAAATTTTTTGCTAGTTGATTTTATTTGGAATAGAAGTTTAGAATAATGAAATAAAAAAAACGATGAATCTGTGGATAAGGAGTTTCTAACACACGCCAGGCGAGTGTAAGTAATGTCTGCAAAATAAGGCCAGCCGGCGTGGAAAGCAGATTTGTTTCTTTCGGTACGATCGTTCTAAATTTCATGCCAATCGATCAAACCTACTGTAATGGCCGAGTAATAGTCTTTTACTGTTACTATATTATTATTGTTTGTACTACCAGTACAAAGTTGCCTAACTTGGGTCAAGTCAATTTAAAAATTTTTTGCCTGTAAAATAGATCGAGTCCTAACAAATCTTTAAGCACTTTCTCATGGTATTTTCCCCAAATTGAGATTGACTTATGCTTTTAACAAGTACCGTATGAATAAAATATTAAAGTTTCATTGCGAAATTTTACAGTTTTGTCATTTTAAAATTTTAAATAATATTGAAATTATTTTGTGTACGTGTTGAAAAGTACAGTTTAATAAATTTATATTTAACGTTGTTTTATTTACAAAATATTATTCATGGACAACAGGTAAATGTTTGGGAGGTTATCGACACAATTGCTCCAGAATTTTATAACGCAAATTCAGCGATCTTATTAGATGATATCTTAATCACTCTAATTTTTAGTTTTATAATATATTGCAGAAAATGGCCAGAAACAATGACTAATAATAGAAAATAGCCGTAGCGGTTGCAGCTCGACCAATATAAATCCAAAGACTGCTATTGTAAACATAATTATGCGATGTGATTGGCTTTATTTTAATTTGCATCATCATTTAAATATGTAACCATGGAGTTAGCTAGATTAAAGAGTGATGCTATTATCTACAAATTCTGCAATTTAGAGTGCTGCTTAGCTATATTTACGAATAAAGTAATTTATGTTAAATTGAGCCCGAAGTAATTGATAATGTTAATCTTGCACCATCGATCGTAACTGTTATTTACCTTTTTAAGTAGAGTTAATCAATCTGAATGTTATCTATAATAAGCGTATTTGTGGTATTATAGTTAATAGTAAGAATAACTTAAGCTCTAATTTTCGTTACGAAGACGTATGAAATTTATCAAAAAGTTATTGGACAAGTATTACGAGGTTGTCACAACTAATGGTGATTGATTACATAACAAGGATATCTTCTTTTCTTCAAATAATTAATGGCTTAGTGATGTAAAAAGCTTTCTTGTTGAAAACGGTGAAATGGAAGGATTATCAATAGGAAGTTCTAATAATTTAAGAAAAGAAATACTTATCACCTCGACACCATTTACTAATCAAGGTGGTAAAGAACGCCTTAGATGGAAGCATTTATCCCCTCGTTTTAACTGGAAGCGAAGACTTAATGGCAGTCTTGGCCGATTTACCCCTAACAATCAGGCTCAAGGCGACAAGGCGTTGGATTATTCTCCCAAAGCTACAATCAAAGCCCAGACTGAAGCAAAATCGATCACTTTTATTACTATCCCTGATAGCAATAGTGATGAAGAATGTAAAGATAATAGTCAAAACAGGACGCCATTTACTAGTCTAGGCGAAAAAGAAGACTGTAGAAGGAAAGATTCATCCTATTTTGTTAAGAGCAAGCGAAGAAGGCTTAATAATAATTTTAACCGATCTCCTACCTCTGGCAATCAGGTTCAAGGGAATAGCGCGTTCAATTATTCTCCCAAAGCTACAATTAATGCCCAGACTGCAGCAAAATCGATCACTTATATCACTATCAGTGATAACAGTAGCGATGAAGAGTGCAAAAATAATAATCAGAATCCGTCAAATCGTGCATTAATTAAGGTACGACAATAATATCTTCCAATTTATCAAAGTTTACTTACTATTACGAATTCTTGTCATTATCTTGCTATATTACTTTTGCGCTTCGGAACATCTAATATTGCCTCAAGTTTCATGATTTTATTTGTTATTTACCATTACCATCAAACTATTCCTACATAAAAATTATCCTCTAAAACTAGCAATATATTAATCTTGAAATATGAAATTAACTTTGATAAACCTTTCATTAGCTGAATTTTTAGGCGTTTTATTTCTAATCATATAATACTCGTTGATTAAAGGCTAAAAAAGAGTGCAAACGATCAGATAATGCCAAAAAATATGAACAGTTGACGTCAGGCATACCAAACGATACTTTTCTAAATCAAAGGTAACTAAACCGCTATTGACTGATTTGTCGTGTCCAATAAGTGTTAAGAGAAGAAATATGAAAGTCTGTATATAACAGCCAGTATTGAAATTATCAGTTATCACTTTATTGATATATATTCACCTTCAATTTTTAATACAAACCTATTAAAATAATGATAGTAAATTACTTTTTATATCGTACAGGAGTAGCTACCAGATTGTGTAAAATTTTAGAGATGCTGTTTAAAAGTAAATAATGAAATTGTGAACTACCCTTATCGTGATCATTAAGTTTATACAGAACTTCTTTTCAAGAAGCTATAGTAAAGTAAATTTCCATCGTAAACTAATTTAGCCTAAATTAATTGTCAGATAGTTGGTACAGTCAAGATATAATCAAGATTATTAATACCTAACTACGGGTTTGCTAGCAAATCACTATCTCCAACTTTCATAAAGTAAAAACCGAGATGAAATATCTTTATCTTGTACAGTCTTTAATTCTATAACGTTCAATAATTATTGTCAGATCAAAAGCAATCTGAAATTGTTATTCACGAATACAATAAATATTAGCATTGTCAGCTAATAGTTATCATAATTTGACTAATTATTATCTTTAATTTTGTTAAACATAAAACAGAACGATAACTATTATATTATATTATATACTTGTATAATGTTGTAGTATTCATATTTTACTATTAGGCTAGATTGGCAGGCTATAGAAATATAAATGAATATTTAGAATATTATTTGTTAATGTTTTATTAATAAATTGCTGTCTTCCAGTTCTAAATCTTCCAAATCAAAATCATTCGAAAGTTACTATTTCCATGAGCACTATGTAACATTTCGTAACAACACACCCGAATCAGGTATCAAAATACTATTAAAACAACATCTATATAAATATTCAAATTTTAATGTTGTAATAGCAATCTTCAACATCTTATACTATCGAATCAATTAAAGCTTTGAGAATAGAATACTTGCGATTGCACTTGAAATATGAAATTGCCATCCTTATAAATCAACATGATTGCAAAATTCTATTTGAAAAAATGGATAAGAAAGATTGTCCCTATGCATTCATCTGCCATCATCAAATTAAAATTCAATGTAATCCATTGAACAAGGAAACTATTCTGAACAAGATTTACGAGATATTACACTCGATCACTGTTAGAAAAGACCATTTTATTAGTAAGAGTTCTAAATTAGGAAGATTTTTGATATCTGGCCAAAGTCAAATGAAATTGAAACATTTGCTAGATCTAAATAGCTGTTTAGCTATCGCTCTAGACGAAAACCACCGAAGGTACAATTTAAGAAGCTGTAATGAAATGTAGACATGGTTAAATTCAATTATTGACAATCCAATTTATCTTATATATCTTGTGTGTCACAAATTCATTTTATGAAAACTCAACAAGTATCGTAGCGATTCCGTAAATTAGTATGCACTTGGTAGTAATCATTTATTGATGATGCACCTTACTATTTTAAGTTAATTAGTCCATCATTAAAATCTATTGAAAAATATTGCAGCCTTTTATTGGCTGTAGTTCAATAAGTAATTAGAATTTGTTAGCATCCTGATTTAATAGTGCAAATATTTGATATCCAATTTCTATCTCATAAACATTAATTATGCATGACTCTTTCTTCTAACTAAATATTGCTCATACTTGTATAATACAGCTTAGAAACTTTTAACACTACTCAAACAATCAAAATAGCTACTATACTTGGTCAATTTTTAATATCGAAAATTAATATTAATTCAGCAAGATGTTATGGAAGTGCAATTATTAGCATTATATTTCAATCTCGCCAACTAATTTTGCCTATAATAGATTCTTCTCTATTAGAATTGATAGTAAATGATGATCCATCTTCAAGTTTTCTGCAAATATTACCTACACTCATATAATTAGTTATTGGCACGTATTCAATATTAGTAATCTGATAGGAGAAAATAAAAAAGTCTCATTTCATCCACTAATTTTAGGTACTGCGATTGCATATAAATATCTATGCCTTGTTTTATTATTTTTATTATCTTTTGCAGTAGATCAAACACACAACGCATCAATATTAACTTGCTTTTAGGAACAATTGAAAAAGAGGGAGCAAAAAATGTATGTAAAATTGAAACTATAGATATTAGATATTATTATTAAAAGTTAAGCTTTGTCTATGTCTTTCCTTACTTGTTAAGTTAAATATTTATACGGTACGTATCAAGAGGAATGACATTAATTTCATTTTTGCATTACTAACGTGAAATCTTCAGGCAGATGTTATTGTGAATTCTATAAGTCTGCGAAATTATGCATCAGGTGCCATCGCCAAAGCATTATATACAGCTGGTGGTAAGCAATATCACTCTGAATGCAAAACTCAGTTAGATTCTTTAGGAGCTGAAGATATTGGAAGCACCAGTGGAAGCTTTTTTGGCTGTAAAAAAGTGTATCATATTCCATTCTTAAGCTCTTGCAAATCTATCTCAGTAAGTCAGCAAAACCTTTTCATTAATTATTGTAACTCCTCTGAATTATAATTGCCATTTCGTATTAAGAATGGATAGGCTTACATAATGAGAATATGTAATTGTAATTTTTATGATAAATCCCATACTACAGTGGTTAAAGGACAAGTTAAAATGTTGCCTAGAAAAAGCTAATAAAGAATCGATGAAATCGATAGCAATTCCCGCTATTGGAATTGGTAAGATTGGGTTACAGATCGATCAGGTGATTCCGGGTATGTTTGATGTGATTTCAAACTACTCACATCAGCATAAAAATAACACTTCCTTGAAAACAGTTTATTTTGTTACTCTACCAACTCAAACTGATCATCATCGACAATTCAGAGCTTTACTACGTGATAGAAATGATAGCTTAATTGGACAGCAAGATCAACTTATAGCAACATCAGATACTATGCAATGCCCTGACAATACTGTAACAGCTACAATATCGGCAGCTATACCATTCAATCAAATACATGATCACAAAACGATTCCATTAGTTACAAAGAGTAGTAATAGCAATGTTGTACATAAATCTAATCTTAGCTACGAGCTTTATTTCACCGTTCACTGCTATAATGAAAGTAAATGTAAACTATTCCGTGTTAACCTCTATCATGGAAATATTATGGGAGCTACAACAAAATCTATTCTCGATATGACAGCATTATGCGATCAACATCGCCAATTAAAGACATTAGATGGTATAATGGAGAGTAATAGTCCACAGCATACATTGAAAACTTTGCAGTATTTACCTAATTTCCATTCCAATTATAATTTATATCAAATATGCCCATACGGATGTTTAACAGGTGTAAATCAATTATTAAAATCTATTAGTACCTATGGAGATCAATCTGTATCACTCCCATTACCAGGTATAGAATTCAACGAAGAGCATACTTATCAGATATTCAAAGCGATAGAATTGTTTCTCACTAACAACGATCATAATGGGAACAGGCTAGATTGTATCGATTTTGCCTTAGGCTCTAAGGATCGAGTTGAAGAGATTGCAACGTGGATAAGAGAAGAGATTACTAAATCAAGATTAAAATTGCGATGGGAAATAACTTTTAATAGGACAAAACAGCAAAATGGTTTCAAAATAATTTACGTATCTAAATTCTTTACCAAAATGAACCAGCTGCAATCAATCATCAATGAATATGGTCAGAGTTGGGGATCTTTTGAAATTGCTGACGATGATTACTTTATCCATGTTGACAAAAATCGTTGGCATCAAATATCGTTAGAATTTTGGTGCCAATACAATACAATTTTAGTCGGATATAATCAAAATAAAATGATACGAATTCATGGATATGAAAGCGATATTTTAAAGGCAATATCAGCTATTCATAAATTATTTGCTTCTCGATTGAAAGAAAAATCCGATATCGAAGTACAAGAAGTGATTGCTAAAAACATTCCATGGTATGCCGTCATTGATCAATCTAAAGTCCAATTTGATAGTAAATTGAATTATGAAATTGTCAAAAACTATGAGATTTACTGCCACAATAAGACCAAGATGATTTTTAATGTGGATTCCGGAAGAAAATCGATTGATTATAAAGAAATGATCATTACAGTTGATGGAAAGCAATATCCGATAGGGCAATTTGCATCATCATGTGAGTAATAACCTTCAGATAGATCGATTAAATGGTAGAGTTTAGTAGCAAATGCAATTTTAATTAATTGATGATAATGTTGACGCATGAGTTTTTCTTCTTTTTTGTCTAGTGGTGAATATATAATATTAACAACAAGTAAAAATGATATTGCTGTATGCTGCATATAAATGAGTGTGGTTACAAAATAAAGGCAATAACTTTCAAAGTAATTATATATGAATCAATCTATTCTATCAAATAGGCAAAGATATCGCCGTACCTCCACATTGGGATACAGCTGATGGAATAACAGATGGCTATTATCGTACTTTTGATGTCACCAATCCAAAAGAGCGAAATGAAATTTCGTTACTTCTTGGAAACCACCAAATTCTCAGATTAACACGCATCCAAAACTGGAATCTATATCGCCGTTATCAAATTATGAAAAAAGAGGTTGAAAGTACAGTTCAGAAGTATCAACCAGGGACTCAAGTCGAAAGAAAGTTGTTCCATGGTACCACAACAGCAAATACCGATATTATATGTAGGAAAGGATTTGATAGAGATTTTTCAGGAAAATCACGAGGTTAGTTAAAGACGTTTTCATACCCTCTTAGTGCTTACCCTCGTAGAGCTACAATATGAAATTAACGGCATTTATCAATAGTATTGCGTTTCTTAATTATATTGAAGTAATTAAATTGCTTAGTATAATGTACGTAACATTGAAATAGTGGAAAATATTTAGAGGCCATAATATCATAATTAGTCCAGATATCATTTGTATCATTTCTTATCAAGTAGCATAAGAATATCAGCTTATTGAAGCAACATGATTAATTAATGAAAGATGCTAGCGTACTCTATCAACAACTTCATCATTATAGTCAGATTAAAGTAATAAAATATCTTTAGAGATATTGCTATCATGGCAGAGCATTAGCCGTACCGTTTGCACTCTTTGAATGAAATTGAAATAATTTATATTTAGTACAGTATATTTACCATCATTTTCAATGTCCCCTGTTAAATATCGAAACGCGTCATCAATATCGTATATTAAAGCCAAAGTTGATGTAACTAACCTACAAAAGTCAAAATAATTGTATTATGGCTACATCTCCTTTACTATCACATCTATTATATTCTAGTATATAGCTAATGCCATATATTAGAGTTGAAATTGAATTATATGACATGTTAACAAATCGTATTATCGTATAATGAATATCCGACTTATATTCTAAATATTACAGGTGCTATAATTACATTTTATGAAGTACAGCAGTCAGTATGCTAATTATATTCTTTAAATTGAAGTTATGAACATGATTAAAGACCTCAAAACAAATTACAATACAATTACTAGCATACGGAGGTCTTTAAATGATCTTCAATATTTCATTATTAACGTGTAATCAAGACATAATTGATATTATCCTAACAGTAAATGATCTTTTTCACTGTACTAATCTGTAGGTTCTGCACTTGGAACAGGGACTTACTTTGCTATCTCTGCTACTACATCTCTCTCTTATGGGAAAACATTAATAATAGCTCGAGTTCTAACAGGCGTTTACGCCAATGCAGGTTGTAGCAATAAGCCTAATTTATCCATTATCCCTGGAAGTAAATCAGAACGAATCCATTCTGTCGTTGATAATATGAATAATCCATCTGTATTTGTAGTATCAAATGATAATTCAGCTTACCCTGAATATATTGTTCATGTTTAACATGTTCTTTCTTCTATATTGATGCAGTTATTAGTGTGTTGAATTTGTCTAAGTATGAAATGAATTACAAGTATAATAAAAAAACTAATTGGTGTTGATTAAGTTAATCTAGGCATTATTCCTCTATCGTTTATACGTATACGAAACACTAGAAGATAACGTAACTTAATCTTAGTATCTCCAAGTAATTTTCCATTTCCATCCTTTAAGTACATTTACGATAGTATTCATCGACATGTATGTAAGGTAGAAATCTGAAAGATATTTTTATTTTTTACCATCTTCTTTCAATAAGCCTTTTAAAGCGGTACACATTGTTACTGTATAAGCTATAAACTGTTCAAATTTTATATACTCTAACCTTTCTAATCCAACTGTAGTATTCGTACAGGACTTGCAAAGTAGAATAGCTAGTTATTTAGTTTTTGGTAACCTTATAGATGTTTTTCTTCTCCAATTCTATTTATAGAGTAAGTTTGAGCTAGATGCTCATCTTGAAGTAACTAATAGGTCCCTATTTTCAATCGAACTGTATCTAATAACTAAAGTAATAAGCATATATGGGTACCATCAATTGGACCTTGACTCTTAACTAATTATGGTTAATGTAGCATTAGTATCATGATAGCAAGATGAAATCAATGAAACAGGCCTATGCAATAGTATAAAAAATTATAGAATCGATGTTATAGATCGATCCAAATATACTAGTACTACCAGTATTCGAGATTGCATTCGTTCTACTTCGCGTACAATACTGTACTTGTACTTTTTACTTTACCGTACAATTAATAAAACTTATTCATAATAATCTATATACATAAAGTAAAAGTGGATTTTTTTTGTAATGCCATCACGGCCAAACGGAGAGTGAAAGGGTAAAACTTTGCCCACCTCCTGAATCAGCATTAAGAGTAGATGGTCCTTGTCGATTTTAAAGCAGTCAAATAACTTTAATGAAAAGTTTTAACCTGTGGACTCTATATTACAGCGAAACAAATTAAAAATAATTAATTAGAAGAGGATCATACCGTTTAAATACTCAAATATCTCGATCAGCTAGGTATAAGCAGAAAGAGAGTTCGCTTTTTCAGCTCTGAAGGAGAAGAAGATGAAATTTTATGACAACATTATTCAATCACCTGGCTTAACAGATGCTTTGACTACGAAATCAGAAAGGACTATGTTGGCAACTCCAAGACGTCTATTGGCAAGATGAATAAAATTTGCTTTCATTGCAGAGCGAAGACATTTCTCGAAGAGACAAAGTGCCTCTACTGCAAAGGAGGCAAAGTCAAGCTCCAACCTCTCCTCAACCTTTCTGATGTCTTGGAGACTTTGCTTACGGACGATTCGCTAGACGCAAAGCGTTTTCGCAATAATACTTGGAAGTAAAACTCAACCTTGATGTTTGCCAGCTTCGAATTCGACAAAGAACTCACCTACCACAGCTTTTTCACCACCTTCAAATTTCAGGGTCAATTTATCACTGAATTGGCGGTCCTTAAGAATGACTCATTAGTAATATTAAACAAGTAGGAATAAAATCCAAAAGATACTTCTAGCTGCAATAGGTTCATTTTAAATAGATTATTCGCACATACGGCAAAATCAATCTCTGATATTTAAAGTAAATTATTTATTAGTATTTTAGCGAACACCGCCATAAAATAGCGTAAATCAGAAGCATACGGTATAGGACTGAAAAAAGTGTAATATTGATTTTAAATGCCGTAACATAAGTTAAAATAACACCTGCAAACTGATATTATTACGTACTTATTTTAATGTGATAATGAAAAATGCTTTAATATCGACAATCGATAATGTTAAAAGTCCACTTTAGAGTGTTGATATTAGTAACATATCACAATGAAATTAATTCGTTAGGACAGTTTCACCCTAAATGTTCATTAGCTCTGCTGATAGTGTCCGTAACTTTACTAATAAATTTAATATCACTGAATGACAGAATATGCGTGTGATGGTAGCAAATACTCCTAACATACAGTATAATTGAATTAAAAGTGAAATTGCAAAACTGAATTCAAATGCTCTAGTATTGAGTTCAATGCACTTGTATCAAATAGTTGCATCTATCAATTATCCATCTTGATAATTGAGTATAATTTTTGATAGATATCTTTATCACTGTTGAGAAGAGGTCTATATACAAGTATCATTAAACGAGAGCAACAAAAAAAGAAATGATTTTAAGGGGGCTGGTCATTTATAATATTGCAATCATAATTTTTATTTCAATATTCAATCATGACTCGAATACAAATATTTTCGACCGGAAGTAAACAAGACTAAAAAAGCAATATAATGTAGCTAATTACGGTATTAAATCATTCCTAAAATAAGTGTTGGATCATTCTAGAATTAATAGTATTGTTATTCAAGTATTAAATTATCCTTCGGGTAACTATTTAGCAAATAAGTTACTCGCGAAAAATATTAATTTGAAAATATTATAATCGCATCGATACTTAATTAAAGATCACAATTTAACATAAAGTGCTCATTATGATTAAGCAAAAAAAATCTCTATAATATACAAATATGAGTATAATGGAAGAGTATACTTCGATATAGGCTATGAATAAATGTAAATGTCAATTGTAACTATCAATTGTAGAATATTGGTGTGCAAAGGCATTTTAAATATACGGCTGATTTATTGTAATGGTATCGCCTTAAATTATTGATAATTGTATAATCTAATGATGAGATCAGTTCAATTATAAAATGTTAATGTTTTGCGATACTAAAGCATTATCGAAGTAAAAGATTGACAAGTTACAATTATTATTAACGAAGACGATATTGATAAAGGAATTTAATTAGGACTAAATATATCAGGTAAATTGAAATAGATTAATTATCCTACTTTACAATAAGAAAAATATTCTAGGAATAAATATGACATACAGAATTGATTAATCATTCTACATGTATCTTGCTTTCTAAGAAAATATCTCTGAAACATGGATAATAAAAGATGGCTATTTTAACCATGGTAAAATAGATTAGATTCTGGCTATAAACGTATCAAGCAACTATAACAAATGTATCACTTTGCCTCGCCAGCTAAGAAAATATCTATTAAATATAAGAAAAAAATAATAGCTGAAGTATAATTGATTATCTTTGTATCTTACCAGCTAAGAAAATATCTTGGAAAAACAGATAGAAAAATAGTATCTATCAAGATTATAAATATAACGAATTTTAAGCAATTATAATTATCATTACAGCCTTCAGTTAGTTGCTCAGGTCGAGCATATCTCACCTTATAACTAATAATTCGAGCATAATTAGTAACAATAGTCGATAACAGTATAACGAATATGAATAGGGTTACAAATAGACTATAGATTGATACAGATATTCCTATTTGGCACAGTGCAAAATTTTTATCTTATCTGGATAAGCACCACGAAATGGGACACTTGGTCTTGAGACACTGAAAGAATTCACGCTACTAGTTGCTTGACTAAGATAGATGATTTGCTTTTCTGTCACGGTACGCCGTTACTAATTAAGTAACTGTAAATTAATGAATGCTTATGAATAGATAAGATAAGGTTATGTGCTATGTTTTAATGCGCTTGTAGCTGATAATAGGATGGTAGAAATGAGATAAAAATAGAAGTTGTTGGCAGTTAATTTACTGTAGGTTTATAAGTTGTGTTAATCTCTAAAAATTGAGCTGTATATGGACGAAGGTTAAGCGTCTTAACACTTGATAGCTTGTAGCTATCTAAGTCTGAGGATATCGACATGTATATTTAGTAATGGTATTATACTAATTAATGTAACTTGCAAAGCATGAATTCTCACTCGTTAATATTGGAATTCACTGTAGAAACCTATTTAAGCGCGTGTGTTTGTAGAATAAAAAAAGTAATTGCTCAAGAAACGACAAGACTCATATCGCGAAGAATAGTGTAATAATTAGTCAGTTGTCTGTGGAGATCAGCCGAGAAATCGAGTTCTCAAATACTTCTCTCATAGAAACTGAAAGTACTGGGAGAAATAGCCCAAGTTTTAAGTAACTACACTATAGTTCTTTACTTTCCTTTGCCACAAGTGAGGGTTGTGACATTTTCATGTTTGCGTTATAGATACAAAACGATCCAACAACAGTAAAATATCAATCGATACTAATTATACATAATGTTGTCATCCATAGGCTTATGTTTTTAAGAAGTATGAGCCAAACATTAAAATTTCATAGCGAAATTTTAGAGTTTGCATTTAAAAATTCTGCAAACTAATAAAATTATTTTGTTTGTGTGCGTGTTGAATAGTACAGTTTAGTAGATCTATATTGGCTTTATCCACTATATCAAAATTTCTCGTTTTTAAATACTAAGAATTTAGCATGAATCGATGATGATACTACGACACTTAATTAAAAAATCAGGCCTTTTACAAAACGGCCTTTAGTGTTATTGTATTTACGAAATATTATTAATATTATTAATGCGTAACTGGTACATATTTTGGACGTTATCGACACAATTGCTCCAGAATTTTATTATGCAAATTCAGTGATCTTAGTAGATAACATCTTATTCACTCAAATGTTCAGTTCTATAATATTTTGCAAAAATGACCAGAAATAATACTAATAATAGAAAATAGCCCTAGCGGTTACGGCTTGACCAATACAAATCCAAATACTGCTATTGTAAACAAATTACGCGATGTGATTGGCTTTTATTTTAATTAGCATCATCATTTAAACATGTAACCATGGAGTTAGCTAGATTGAAAGGCAACGCCATTATTTATGAACTCTGCAATATAAAGTGCTGCTATAGTTATACGTACAACAGATGGAGCAATTTAGGTTAAATTGAGCTCGAACTTACGGATAATATTAATCTTGTACCATCAATCATAATTGTTATTAATCACTTTTAGTAGAGCTAATCAATCCAAATGTAATCTATAATAAGGTTATTTACGGTAATATAGTTAATATTAAGAATAATTTAAGCTCTAATTTTCGTTTCGAAGACGTATGAAATTTATCAAAGTGTTGTTGGTCAAGTATTACGCGCCAGCTATTACTAGAGATTGATTGTCTATATAACCGGTATATCTTCCTTTCTTCAAATAAGTATTGGCTTAGTAATGTAAAAGGCTTTTACATGGAAAAGTCTTTAATGAAAGAATTTTTGAGAGCAGGCAATCGAAGTAATCAAACAAGAAAAGTATTTCATATATTTACAACAAAAAAAGATGCCAGAAACTAGGCAAGGCAACATAGAACACCTTAAAGAGAAAGATTCTTCCCATCCTGTAAACTGCAAGCGAAGAAAGCTTGACGACAGTCGTAACCGATCTCTTACCCCTAATAATCATGTTCCAGGCACCAGCAAGTTCGATCATTCTCGCAAAGCAACAATCGAAACCAAACCTACAGCAAAATTGCCCTCTACTGTCATAATTATTGACAGTAAAAGTGATGAAGAGCGCAAAGATAACGACAAGAAATCTTCAAATTTTACATCTGTTAAGGTACTATATTTACCGTCCTTCTCGCGTTCCCATACAAAAATCGGGTCAAGTTTTATGATTTTATTTGTTAATTAACAATATATAAACTGCATATAATTAAAGTATCCATTATTTACTGATATGGATCTTAAATAACCTTATAAGGGTATCTATTTGGAGAGTTACTCGTTAAAATCAAACTATTCTTCCACTAGAACTATTCATTAAAATTAGAAATAGTTCATCTTAAATTATAAAATCAATTTTAAGAACTTATCAACTAGCCCAATTTTTTGGTTTATTATTTCTAATAATATAATACATATCGGTTGAAAGGTCAAAGAAGAGCCCAAAGAATCGGATAGGGAATATCAATTGTTACAGAAAGCAGGGGAAAGTTCATCAACGCAAGGTGCTGTATATTTACCTCATAAAGGCTTTCTTAATGCTAGAAGATTAAAGTTAAATGTTATAATTATTACACATAAATTGTTATCAATATTATACTCGCAATTTTATTTTACAGATAATACCAATAAAGATGAGCAACTATCTATAAGCAAGTCCAATGATACTTTTTTAAATCATAGGTAACTAATCTCTATTGACTGCTTTATTGTGTCTAATAGCTGTTAGTATAGGAAATGTACCAATATATGTAGAAGTCAGGAATGAAATTTTTAGCTATTAGTTTAATAGCAAATTTTCTCCTTCAACTTTTAATACACTTCATCAAAATGCAGTATTTAAGTAATGATTGTAAATCATCTTTTACGTCGTTCAATACTAGCTATCACACTGAGTAGAATTTAAAAGATATTGTTTACAAATGAGAATTAAAAATTGTATACTACACTTTTAGCGTGCATCGAATTTACACGAAACCATAATATAAGCCGGCTTTAATCTAAACTGTTTTACCTAATTTCGCTGTCAGGTAGTTAATTACAAGTTTACAATCACTTATTAACAAATCACTCTCTCTAACTTTCACTGTACAAAAATCGCGACGAAAAACCTTTATCTTACATAATAGTGAACTTTCAGATCTTTAAGATTTAGAAGTCCATGATAGTATTCAATTTATAGCATTCAATAGTTATTACCAGAGAAAAAGCATTTTGGATTATTTATTCACTAATAGATATAAATATTCTCAGCTAATAGCTACTATTACCTAATAAATGATCATCTTCAAGTTTTAAGAGATGCAAAATAGATCGAAAACTATTGCATTATATACTTATATAACGTTATAACATTCACATTTTACTATCAGATTAGATTAATGGATTGCAGAAATCTGCTATGAGTATTTAAATGAAAATTTATAATATTATTTGCTAATCCTATACTTATCTATTATTTTGGACATGATCATCTTCAAGTTTAACACCTATGAAAAAGAACAATAACTGTTGTATTTTATATTTGCATGTTATAGTATCCGCATCTTACTACTAGACTAGATCGATGGATTGTTGAAATCTAGGAATATATAAAGAATATTTACATTATTTGCTAACGCTCTATTAATAAATTGTCATCTTCCAGGTCTAAATCTTACAAATCAAAATCATTCGAAAGTTGTTATTTCCATGATCATTATAAGATATTTCGCGAAAATACGCTCGAGCAAGGTATCAGAATATTAATAAAAACAAAGTTTATACAAATATTACAATATTACTGCCCTAAGAGTGATCTTGAATGTTTTATGTTGTTGATTAAATTTCAGCCTTAAGAATGGAATATTTACGATTACACTTGCGGCATGAAATTCTTCGTCTTGAAAATTGTAAAGACTGCAAAATCTTATTTGAGAAAATGGATGAGAAAAAGTGTCTCTACCCTTTCATCCGTCATCATCAAATTAAAATTCAATGTGATCCATTGAACAGAAAAGCTATTCTGGACAAGATTTACAAGTTATTAAACTCACTCACTATTAAAGAAGATCCTTGTATTAGTAAAAATTCTAGGTTGGGGAGATGTTTGACTTCTGGCCATGGTCAAATGAAATTGAAATGTTTACTGGACAAAAATGAATGTTTAGCTATCGCCGTAGACGAAGACCATCATAGGTACTGTTTTGGACGCTATAATGAAATAGATGTGGCTAAAATCGATTCTAGACAATCGAATTTTTTTGTACTGGGTCTCTTATGATAAATTGATTTTATGAAAGGGTACCAAACGTAGTAGTTATTTCATAAATAATTATAAGTAAATACTTGATAGCAATCATTTATTGATATACCTACCTCATTGGTTTAAATTAATAAATCCATCATCAAAATTACTGAAGATATTGAAGCTTTTTTTACCCCTTGTTAGACAAGCATTTAGAAATCGTTAGCATTTCGGCTAAATATCACAAATACTTTGAAATCCAATTTAAATCTAATCACCATTTATTATAAAAGTCAGCTCTTTCTCTCTAAGTGCTATGCGTACTTATATAATACAATGCCAAAATTTTTGACGATACTCAATTTATTAAAACAGTAACTGTACCTGGTCAATTTTTAATTTTAAAAAATTAATATTAATCTGACTAGATGTCATGAAAATACAATTATTGGCATAATCTTTCAATCTTACCGACTAGTTTTGCTTATAAAAGATTTTTCCCTTTAAGAATTGATTTTAATTGATGATCTATCTTCGATTTTCCTGAGAATATCATTTACACTTTTTATAAATAGTTACTGACAAGTATTCAGTATTAGTAATCTCGTCAGATATTATAAAAATGTAGTTGATGTTTATCTCCTAATCTTAGATGCTGCTTTGCGTACAGTTTTTTATTTATCGTTATTATCTTATTTTCATTATTTCTTATAGTAAATTAAGCGCACTGTATGTCAAAGAAAAGAAAATAATGGCGTCAAAGACCCTAGAAACAACTACCGAACAAGCAAGTTGTAATAAACTCTGTACGACTACAGCTAATAAGGATGAGACAAGCAAAACAAGTATCAAGGCTACTACATCGAGCAATCAGATACATAATCACGTCGATATTGAATTGGTTTTAGGCACCGTTGAAAAAGAGGGAGCAAAAGTATGTAATATTGAAACTTTATACTCTTATATTCGATATTGTTGTAAAAATTTAAGCTATGCTTATGCCTTTCATAACTTGCTAAGTTAGATAATCTTTACGATGTATGTCGAGAGGAACGATATTAATTTCAATTCGTCATTGCTAACGTGAAATCTTTAGGCTGATGTTATCGTTAATTCTATAAGTCTGCAAGATTATAATACGGGTGCTATCGCCAATGCATTATATATGGCTGGTGGTGAGCAATATCAATCTGAATGCGCAATTCACTTACAATCTTTAGATATTGAAGATATTGGAAGCACCAATGGAAGCTATTTTGGCTGCAAAAAAGTATATCATATTCCATTCTTAAGCTCTAACAAATCTATCACTGTAAGTCTGCAAACCTTTTATTATTTTAAGTCTTCATAATTGATAATTCATATCGAGAATAAATAATTGTATTTCGTAATGAATTTTATGTTGTAGTGGTTAAAAGATAAGTTAAAACGATGCCTAGAAAAAGCCAATGAAGAATCGATGAGATCTATAGCTATACCTATGATTGGAATTGGCAATATGGGGTTACAGGCGGATGAGATGATCATAGGAATTTTTGATGTGGTTTCTGACTTCTCCCAACGGCATAAAAAAGTGATTTCCTTGAAAACAGTTTACTTGGTTGTTCTTCCAACCCTAAATGAACATCATGAACTAATTCGAATTTTATTACATGAAAGAACAAATAACTTAACTGCGTGGCAAAATCAACTAGTAGCAACATTAAATAGCAATCATTTGCCAGATAAAACTATGATAGCTACAACATCGACAGCGATAACATCCAGTCGAATACAAGATCGCAAAGAGATTGCACTGGTTACAAAGAGTAGTAATAGCAACCTTGTACAAAACTCCAATCTTAGCTATGTTTTGTATTTCACTGTTTGCTGCTACACCAATGGTAAGCCATTACGAGTTAACCTCTACCATGGAAATATTCTTGCAGCTACAACCAATGCTATTGTCGATATGACAGTGTTATGCGATCAGCATCAACATTTAGAGACATTAGATGGTGTCATGGAGAAAAATAGTCCAGAGCATATAGTGGAAACTTTACAGTATTTACCGAATTTTAAGCCTAATTGTAGCTTATATCAAATATGTCCATATGGATGCTTAACTGGTGTAAATCAATTATTAATCTATATTAACGCCAATGATGATCAATCGATGTCGCTTCCACTACCAAGTATAGAATTTAATCAAGAGCATATCTATCATATATTAAATGCGATAGAATTATTCCTCATTGATCACGGCTGTGATCAGATCAGGTTAGATTGCATTGATCTTGCCTTAGGATCTAAGGATCGAGTTGAGGAGATTGCAACGTGGATAAGAGAAGAAATTACAAGATCTCGATTAACATTACCTTGGGAAATAACTTTTAACAAGACAAATCTCCGATTTGGTTTAAAAACGATTTATATATCAAAATATTGTAATCGTATAGATCAAATGCGATTCATCGTCAACGAATATGGTCAGACTTGGGGATCGCATGAAATCACTGACGAAGATTACTTCATCCATGTTGACAAAAGTCGTTGGCATCAAATATCATTAGAATTTTGGTGCAATTACAATACAATCTTAGTGTGTTGTAATCGAAAAAAAGCGATTCGAATTCATGGATACCAATGTGATATTTTAAAAGCAATATCAGCTATTCATAACTTATTTGCTTCTCAATTGAAAGAAAAATTAAATCAAGATACACAGGAAATGATTGCTAAAAACGTTCCATGGTATGCTATCATTGATCAATCTAAGGTTCAATTTGATAGTAAAATGAATTTTGAAATTGTCAAAAATTATGAGATCTATCTTCAAGATAAAACTAATAAGGTTTTTAAAATGGACACCGGAATGAAATCAATTGATTACGAAAAAATGATCATGACAGTTGATGGAAAACAATATCCGATAGGAAGATTAATATCATCGAGTGAGTAGTATACAGCAGACAGATTGATAGCATACTAGAGAATAATTGCAATTACAATTTTGATTAATGAAAATAAATACTAGTATTGATACATCATCTTTTCTTATTTTTCTGCCTGCCAATATATAATAAAAACAACAAGTTAAAATTATACAATGCCGTACAATAATTAAAATTATCGCAAATTGAAGGCAATAATCTTAACAGGATTAGGTATAAATCAAGCTATTCTTTCAAATAGATAATGAGATTGCTGTGCCTCCATCTTGGAATATAGTTGGTGAAATAAAAGATGGTTATTATTGTACTGTTGGTGTCACTAATCAAGAAGAAAAAAATCAAATTTCGAAACTTCTGGAAGGCACAGGGATTCAGATTCGCAAATTAACACGTATTCAAAACTGGAATTTATATCGTCGTTATCAGATTATGAAAAAGGATGTTGAAAGAACGGTTCGAAGGTACCAACCGGGAACCCAAGTTGAAAGAAGCTTGTTCCATGGTACCGCAAAAACTAACGTCGAAAGTATATGTAAGGGAGGATTTGATCGAGATTATTCAGGAAAATCGTATGGTTAGTTAAAAAATCTTGATATCGTCTTACTACTATGCCATAGAATTGATGACATTTACACGAAGTATTTCGCTTCTAAAATATATTGAAGTAATTAGATTTAGTTAATATCACACTCTACTGAAATAATTAAAGATGTTTAAAGGCCACAATACCATAATATATCCAAATACCATTTGCATCATTATTATTAAGTAACAATAAAATTTAATTAGAGTAACATGATTAAAAATGTTATCATACTGTATCAGTACCTTCATAATTACGGCCAATTGAAACACAGCAATAAATATCTTCACAGATGTTGATGTCATGGCAAGGTATAAATAATGTCATTTACGAGAAATTGAAGTAATTTCCAGGTAGCATATTGATTCTCACTTTTAGTATTCTCTGTTAGAGATCGATGCCTGTCATCAATACCGTATATTAAATTAAAATTCATGCATTAATTTCCTAAGGATCTTCAGCATAATCACTTTTTTCACTAATGCCTTATACATAATTTTAATTGATTTGAAAGTTAAGGTGTTTTAAAGGTCGTTAATTGAATCAAACGGACGCGAATAACATAGATCTTAGTTTATAGCCAAGATTAATACCATGTATTAGAGTTGGAATTGAATAGAGTAACATGCAAGCAGATCATGTTATCGTGTAATATCCAATTATCAAATCATATATATGTAATTTTGTTTGTGTGTTACACTGTCATATTCTACGGAATTTCTACGATTTTGCTCGTTGTTGTATTATTAATAGTACAGATGTTATAATTTTAGTTCAAATAAAGTAAAGTAATCTGCAAGTTAATCATATTCTTTGAATTGAAATCATAAACATGATTTAAGTATTTGAACGAATTGAAATAGAATTAATAGCTTTAAGACAGTATATAATAATCTTTATTATGATATTCTTCAAATATTAAAGGTTAATCAAAATACAATTTATGATATCCTAATTTCAAATGATTCTTTCCAATGTTCTACTCTATAGGTTCTGCACTTGGAACAGGAACGTACTTTGCTGTCGCTGCTACGGAATCGCGCCAATATGGCGATACATTATTACTAGCTCGAGTTCTAACAGGTATCTATGTCCAAGGAGCTCAATGTAATCAACCTAATTTATCCATAATCAGCGGAAGTCAATCAGAACGAGTCCATTCCGTTGTTAATAATATGAACAATCCATCCGTATTTGTAATATCAAATGATAATTCAGCTTATCCTGAATATATTATTCATATTTAACATGTTCTTATTCCTGCACTAATTCAGTATAACTGAAATTATCAAGGTAGGACATGAATTACCCGCATAGCTATAGAGTAAATCGGGTTAATTAAGCTAATCTAGACATTATTCTTCAATTGTTTATGTAATATTTTAGACCTTTATTCCGAGCAATGTCTCACGCAATTAACCTCACAGAATATTCGCGGTTTTCGTTGTATTCTTATTATATATTGCATCCTAAAGCACATAGTATTACACGTACGAGCACATAACATTATCTAGATAATTTTACTTTATTCCTCTGACTGATAGCGGGGATCATTACAATGCTCTTGTTGTGTAGTTATCATATTCACTAATACTGCACCAGAACCTCTAAGGTTCATAATGCTGACTATACAGAATAGATATTAATATCATAGCATGTATAATATTAGGATAACATCTTGCTAGAGTTTGTAAGTGTATAAAATACTTGGAGAGAATATTATATAAATATCTCTTATTAATTTTTCATCACCATCTTTTCCATATATGTATGATAGTCGTACAATATATATGTATATGTGATGTAGAAATCTGAGACTTAGATTTTTTATCATTTTTGAATAAGCCATACTAGCGGCTCTTATAGCTGCTGGTTATAAGTAGTAAAAAATTTTGTATGCTCTTATCTACAGTATGTGATCATTGTATAATAAATCATTACCTTGAATTATAATTGTATTACTACTGTATAATCCAATCTGTGCTGGAATTCGTACAAAAATTACAGAATAGAATAGCTGGCTATTTAGTTTTTAGTAATCGCGTAACTATTCTCTTTTAATTGCATTTTGAGTTAATTTAAGCTGATTATTCACCTTAAAACAGCTAAATAAGAATATTTCTGCGATGGAACCTTGACCCATAATTATAGGTTATGTAGTAGTATTATGATATCATGATGAAAGAGATGAAATTACTCTCACCTAATATGGAAAATTGTAGAATTGATGGTGTCGATCAATTCAAAAACGCCAATACTATCAGTATTCAAGGCTCGCATGTAGCTAAAACAATAATTTAAATTAACTCATCAATTGATTGATTTTTACTAGCAGCAACACTGAAAATATAACAAATAGAATTAAGTAAATTTGGATATAATTCATACCTTGTCAAAGAAATGGCATAAAAAATAAAATATAAAGTACATTATTAAGCAGGTACTATAAAATTTAAAGAACTTTACTTCAGAGTAGCTAAGACGATGTTTAGGTTTAAAGTTTCTTTCTAATTCTTACGGCGCTAGAATTGCAACTTAATATATTTCTCTTATGCTGGTACTCTTAAGAAAGCTATATGCAGTTGTATATGATAGAACAACAGTTCAGTACGGTTACTTTGCTATCAATATGAATTGACTAAAGAGATCTTATGCTTTAACAGAATTCTAAATATTGTAATTAAATAAGCATTATATCAAATATTTCTTGGAATACGGTATTCGTTGTATACATATACCAAGTTGTGGATTTAGCCTAGGACCGATAAAGTCTATATACATTAAAGATGTTACAATATCGTTTTAAAGTAAATAATAGAAAGAAAAAATTCTATCGTATAACATTCTATAGTATGAGTATATCTTCAGTACAATGGATAAGTCGAAACAACAGAATATTACTGTATTAAGCTTTTATTTCGATATTCAATCATGGCGCGTATATATTAGATAAGAGGTAAACAAGACTAAAAAAGTAATAAAATGCAACTTAATTGCTACTATCAAGTTATTCCTAGAATAAGTGTTATATCATTCTAGAATCAAGGATATAGTAATTCAAGTGTTAGTTAATCTTTCTAAGAAACTATTTAGATAATAAAATTACTGGCGAGAACATCAATATAAAAATGGTATAGTAGTATCAATGCTTAGGATCATGATTTAACATTAAATACTCCTTTTGAATAAATCAGTAGATTTGTTACGACAATATAGTCTTAGATTAAATTATTGATAACTCTAATGATAAAGCCATTTCAATTGCAAAATGTTAAAATTTGCGATGGTAAAGCTTGTTAATATAGTAAAAAGAAAGATTAGTTGTAATTATTATTGATGAAAACATCATTGAAAAGGGAATCTTTTAATGTCATAACAAATATCTGTATCCAGTATTGAGCACTTTACTTTAAAGGAATGAAATAATATTCTAACGCATATTTATTTCAGTTATTGAGTACTTTACTTTAATTAATACCATAAAGGAAAAAGATTTAGTTTTTACTAGTTCAAGTTATTTAGGATATCTTAGAAGTTGAACGGGATTAACTTGTATATTTGTTGGCGTTGAAAAGATATCCAAGGTAACAGTTGTAGATTGTCTAATCATATCGGAAGGATGTTCAAATAGAACTAATCATTGATATGGACGTATATTATAAACTTATTATCAATATGATGGAGAGCCCTCACTGCTATAAATTATATATGTTGAAACAGATTTGCCACTCCATCTTGCCTATTTTGGAGATTACATAAATGAATAGCTGTTATGGAGCTAAAACATACGGAAATCGAATAGTAGGAATTAAATTTTGCAAATTGGAGTAGATTAATCATTCTGCCTTTTTAGCTAAGAAAATTTGTATGGAAGTACATCGTAAAATAAAATAAAATACCTATTTTAAATCATAAACAATATCGAATTTTAGCTATGATATAAAATAGATACAGATTTATTTTAGTCATCCAATAAGATGTCTCAAAAGCGTATAGAAAAAATATTAGCTATTTCTAAAATTGAATAGGAACGGATACTACCAGTAATGTGGGATACAAATTAAAAACATTGATTACCGCCTTCGCTCAGAAAATATCTAAATAGAAATGCAGAAAATGAAGTTTGTTTTAACATTGTTAAACACGGCGGACTTTGATAGTAGTATACCTTGTAATTTGAACAAGATTAATTATTATACTTATCTAGCTAAGAAATCTATGAAAATATGCAAAAGAATAGCTTTCATCGAAATATCGCAATAAATATCCAATTCTAATGTTAAGTTGTCTTGTAAATTAAGAACAACTAAGCATCCTGGATTATTGAAATCAAGTATATTTTCAAAAATAATAAAAAAATTTAAAAACATTTTTTAAGATCGTTAAATGTATTGATTTCGAAAGAGTAATAAATCTTGCAGATTGGAAAGAATTGATCATTTTATCTTGCCGGCTAAGAAATTATATATATAAATAGACGGAAACATTATCAGTTGTTTTCCAAATTGTAGGATACTTCAGATACTGGCTGTAATTCATCATGTAAAATACAGCGGAGTAATTGTCTGCATTGCCAGTAAAGAAAAAATATATATGAAAATAAGCAGAAAGATGGCAATTACTTTGGAAATGTTTGGGTACATCGAATTCTAACTAAATTCTATTTTGCAAATAGTAAACGATTACTTATCCTACTTTACAAGAATAAAAATATTCTTAGAAATAAGTATGAAATATACATTTATATTCAAGATTGTAAAAATATTAAATATATAAAAGTAGATCTGTTTTCTCTCAAATTGAAATACGTAAACCTTTTTGCATGTATGTATCTTGCTTGCTAAGAAAATATCTCTGAAACGTGAATAGAAAAAGATAGCTTTTTTAAACATCGTAAAATGGATTAGATCCTAGCTGTAGGCCTATTAAACTAGAGCAATTGTATCACTCTATTTTACCAGCTGTCACAACGTCGTTTGCAACAATCGGATTCCCGTTCCACACTTATCCTACTCTCCTCTGTCCTACAGTAAAACTGCCACCAGGCGTCACTACTCACTCCACTTCAGCGAAGGACCTCAGTCAACAGTAAAGGCGGACTAGAAGCGTCTGGATAAATTTACTAAACTAACTTTATTAGGTCTCCGTATTTTCCTCCTCTCTAGCGAGGTAAATTACAACCTCTTATATACTTGTATCAAATCTACACCTTTTCCACCTGTTAATTACTCTTATGCATAACTTAGTCTTTTCTATAACTTTGTAATCCTATTAATTACTATCGAACAAATATGTGATAATTGATATTATTATGCGCTAATAATATTATAGCGCCAATTAACAATTTAAGATCTAACAGATTCCCTACAAGTGTGACAACCGCCATTTTGGTTATTACACGTCATTGGCATATTAAGTACCTTACTTCTACACATTGGTCAATGGAAGTCCATTAACGATTGAACCTCACAATATTAACAGATCATAATATTTATGATTATCTAATCGTAACCGTCTATTTCTTCTTCAATAACATTATCACATAATATCTTAAACTGTAACACCAGCTAAAAAAATATCTATGAAAAATAAGAGGAAAAATCATAGGTATCTTTAAAATGATAACATAAATCGGGTTATGGCTGTAATCTATCTTACAAACTGGAGTGGATTAATCTTTCTATTTTACTAGTTAAGAAAATATCTGGGGAAAAATAGATTAAAAAATAGCATCTATTATTTAGATTATAAATTTATCGAATTGAAGCTATAATATATCACGCAACTAAAGTAGATATCTATGAGAATATATAGAAAATAACAGTTATTTTTCAAATTGTAAAATTTGTCAATCTTTAGCCGTATTTCATCATGCAAGCTAAAACAGATTAATCATTCTACCTTAGTAAGCAAGTATGCTAAGTATCGCAAGCAGAATATCTGACCAGGATTGTCAAAATAGGCTCAAGATAATAGCTATCGTTGAAATTATATATTAAAGCAAACATTGATCATAATTAATATGCTTACTGGTTGGAAATACATAATATTATTACGCTTTGCTCACCAAGGAGCATCTATGGAAACAAATAATAAATATTATATATCTTTAAATCATAAAATACAATTATTATCCAATTCTGATCATACTAGATCAACTTGAAAAAATTATGAAATAATCTAAATTTTTGCTTGTAATTTCTGATAAAGATTTATAATCAAAATAAAATGAATAAACAGACTAATG